CATTGAAAGTCGCCACAACGCATGATCCGGTCTGAACGCTGCTTTAAACCTTTCATGTGAGCCCCTGGACCGTGGTCGAGGGGCGCAGGAGAGTGTGTCGCTCTCCTGCGACACACACACAGGGAAGTGTTTCCTACGGGGAACAACTCCTTCTGTCCTGACTAGGGGCGGGCGATAGGGCCTAAAATTCATATTGCGGTATAATTTGCTACACAGACGGTAGACGGTATATATTGCGGTATAATTTGGTGTGTGAATTTCAAAATAGATCTAGCAGGTTCTTGCATAAAATAGGTATAACATCAAGATTGTTACTTATTTATATATTAGAATCTAATATATATATTTTTTGAGTTAGAAAATCAGTTGTGAGACGAATAAAGAGACAAATACCAAATACCATTTACCAAGAGTAAATACCATTCACTGTAAAAGCAATTTTTAAAAAGAAAAGCATGCATTCATTTAAAATATTAAAAACTCACAAATGTTGAAATCAAAGTTGGTAGGAGTTAGACATGGTCATTATTTATAGTGTCTGAGAGTTTTGTGCAGGTACATGACCTGATCCTGTACAGGATTTCATCTCTGCTGTTTGCAGACGATGTTGTCCTGTTGGCTCCAACGAACCAGGACCTGCAGCATGCACTGGGGCGGTTTGCAGCCGAGTGTGAAGCGGCTGGGATGAGAATCAGCACCTCCAAATCCGAGGCCATGGTGCTCGACCGGAAAAAGGTGCCTTGCCCTCTACAGGTGGGTGGAGAGGTCCTTCCTCAAGTGGAGGAGTTCAAGTATCTCAGGGGCCTTGAGATAGCGTGAGATTGACAGGCGGATCGGTGCAGCGTGCGCAGTGATGCGGTCGCTGTATCGGACCGTTGTGGTAAAGAGGGAGCTGAGCCGAAAGGCAAAGCTCTCGATTTACCGGTCAATCTTCGTTCCCTCCCTCACCTATGGTCATGAGCTGTGGGTAATGACCGAAAGAACGAGATCGCGGATACAAGCGGTCAAAATGAGCTTCCTCCGCAGAGTGGCTGGGTGCTCCCTTAGAGATAGGGTGAGGAGCTCAGTCACACAGGAGGAGCTCGGAGTAGAGCCGCTGCTTCTCCACGTCGAGAGGAACCAGTTGAGGTGGCTCGGGCATCTGTTCCGGATGCCTCCTGGACGCCTCCCTGGGGAGGTGTTCCGGGCACGTCCCACCGGGAGGAGGCCCCGCGGAAGACCTAGGACACGCTGGAGGGACTATGTCTCTCAGCTGGCCTGGGAACGCCTTGGGGTCCCCCCGGACGAGCTGGAGGAAGTGTGTGTGGATAGGGAAGTCTGGGCGTCTCTGCTTAGACTGCTGCCCCCGCGACCCGGCAACGGATAAAGCGGAAGAAAATGGATGGATAAAACAGCGCATTGGATTTGAACAATGATGTAAATGGTCATTTTGGCACAATTAAGTTTGTTTAACAAAGTAGCTTTTGTGAGATATTGACCGCGGAGGTCCGAATCGGACGCTAACTTTCCCAAACTTCTGCTGTGTTGCTGCGGACACGGCTGAGGCATGGATCTATTTTGGCTCACACTGGCGCTTCAAGCTTACGTCCCTTTGACACTGATTGGCCAAAAGGTAGACGCTTAAACTGTGATTACTGTGTGTGTATTTACCTCTGCGGGGGCTGCTGTGACAACAATACATAGATAGAAACACTGTGTTAATGCCGTACTGTTGTTCGTTGTTTCCAGTGGTGTCCAATAGTGCTAGGCTAATGCTGCTAGGCTAATAGTGCTAGGCTAATGCTGCTGAATGCCGGTTTGTTTTGGTCCTTTCTGCTGGCGTCAGAGCCTGCGCAATTTGATGACATAATGACCTATTGCAATATGCCGGTATAACAAAAATCTCTACCGTGGGCCAAATTTATATCGCATACCGCTTATACCGTTTATATCGCCCAGCCCTAGTCCTGACCCTCGCTCTCACAGTGTGGTGCTTTTGCAATAATACTTCAGACGTTCAAGAATCAGACTTTATTTAATCGCCAGAACACACCAACACACAAACACACACACTTGTATCCTGCCTGGCTCTGGTCGCTCTGCTCATACGCCAGACTTTTCATTCTCATTCATTCATTTCTCCAAGCTCTTATGCTCATGGCTAAAGCACGCACACACACACATACACGTTACCCACTGAACTGCGGCACTTTGCGTCAGAGCAATTTGAACAAGTGTGAAATGTGTCTTTCCCCAAGCAACGCAATCTGTACTCGAGCTGTTAGCGCTACAGTAGCAGAGCGTAAACAGGAAGAGAAACGGAAACTTAAATCTTGACAAGGAGGTCGTCGCTGAAGTTAGTATTAGAGCCTCCGAGCATTGTACTACAGCGATGTTGGTTTGGCACGCTTGAGAGAATAAACCCTTGTGACCACGACCGTCTTCACATCCCAGTGGCGACGATCCAGGCCACTTGGCCTAGTTCGTTTGTAAAAAACCTATGTGAAGGCAGTATGCCTTCTGCTCTTCCAGGGGAATCCTGAGGCGTGTGGATACTGCCCATGCTCAGACTACTGCCCCGGCAACCCGGCAACAGACAAAGCGTAATCAGAATGTAAAAGGTGCTCAGAACCACATTATGGGAGGACAAATGAAAGGGCAGGGAAAATCTCCACAGCTCTGTCCAAACTAAGTAACAGATTCAACTAGGGCTGGGCAATACATCAAATACAAGCAATTGATCGGCTTTTGAAAAAAATCGAATTTCTGAAAAATTTGAAAATTGGGAAATCGAATGAAGGATAGTGTGAGAGTTCCAGCGGCACATGAATTATACTTATACTAGCACAGTCTGTACAAGACTTTTATAATACGTATTGGGAGAAACAAATAAAACATTATTTTTAAACTGGAATATTGAGCGGAAAGATCAAAAAAGTCTGTCTTTGGTGACTTTAATGAAAATCGATTTTACATCAAAATCGTCCAAAGCAGGAAATAAAAATCGAGATGTTACTTTTTTGCCATATCGCAGCGCCCTAGATTCAACAGTTTTGGAGTAGTCTTTCCGTGCAAGTTTCAGTAGTTTGCTTTGGTTTCGTTACGTGAAGCAAAAGCAGGAAAAAAAAATGAAATAACTTGTGCCGCTGCAGTGGAGCATGTGAGAAAATTGTGTTTACATTTGACAAAAGTGTGTGTATACTGTAAATATGATGGTATGACAGAAGTTAAACGTTGGAACGATAAATATGATCAACATTCATGGACATTGGTCTATCCCTATGGACCAATACATATGTGTTCTACATATTTTTTGTTTTAGCTGTTGATTCTGTATTCTGTGTTGGTGATTTCAATGGTTTTGTCAAGTCCTCTCAGATGACTGCTGTTGTGATTTAGGGCTATACAAGAATAAATTGTATTGTTTTGTGAGTGCTAAGGCAAAATTACGAGAGACGCCTTTGAGAACATCACTGGGGTAGAGCTTCTCTGTAGGGTGCATGGAGACGGGAGCAAAACGGGTCTGAGCGCTATTAAAGCCAAGCAGAGTATGGTGCGTTTTTTTTTAACGTAGCCTACACTATTTTCCTTTGTAAACGTAGCCAATGTTGGAGCAAGGTTCATAAAGGATGATTTTGTAATATGTAAAAAAATGAAGGCGGCATGTTCATTAAAAGCAGCTCTATCCTCTTGCTGTCATCAGGGGGAGGCAGAGGCGTGGAGTTTGCATGTTATAATGAGTCTGCAGACACAGGGACCGTATCAGAGGCTGCTGCACTTTGCAAATTGTGAATCTGAGTTGCATTATTCACAAAAGCTACACGCTGCTCATGTCAGAAGGCACTTTCTACTATACATACAGTACATACAGCCACTGACTTTAGGGATATGTGCTTTTATTTAGTTAGAGGATATGCCCCATGAGATTATGTTTGATGGGGTCCTCAAGTGATTCTGAAGATATGTATGAGAGTCTACAGAGTTGTGACAAGTTTGACCTTTTCTCAGATATTTAGTTGAAGTGCTTCATCAATATCCAATGTAAAGGTAGAATTTTGCGCTGCATATAAAATAGTAAAGCACCCGTCATCCTTAATGGTTTTAACCTGTGTCCACACTCCAGTCTTCCAGATTGATGGTTCAATTACATTTTCTCTTTATAATTATTACTTATTTTTATTTCAGAACAACGTTTCACATTTCAATAATCATTCACTCCATTCACTGTACTCTTGTAACTAGTAAACTACTATTGAAGCCACAGATGACCTGGGGCACACTGACAGAACTGCAACCAGTACCATCGGTTCCTCTAAGCACCACCAACCATTCATTCACTTTACAGCCAAAATTAAGCTTGCACTAGTAGGCAAGGCAAGGCAAGTTTATTTGTATAGCACAATTCATACACAAGGCAACTCAAAGTGCTGAACAAGATAGCATTAAAATCATAAATAATTACAGAACATTAAAACGAAAGATAAAAATATAAAATCCCTCAGTTGTATGCACAGCTAAACAGCACCGTTTTTAACTTGGTTTTAAACATTGTCAGAGAGGAGGCCTGTCTCACATCTTCAGGAAGATTGTTCCAGATTTTAGCAGCATGAATCTGAAAAGCAGCCTCCCCATGTTTAGTAGAAAACTTTGTGGGAGCCTTTCATTTACAAATTGTTGTGCATTCGTCCCGAACTCATCTACAGTCAGGCCATGAGAGGATCTCTCCTCAGTGTAGTTCTCCCTGATCTTTTTGGTACAGCCCTATTTAGACAAAAAACTATTCAACACTAGCTTCAACACTCTATAAGCTAAATTGATGCATCGTCATGAAGTTGTAGCAATATAACAGCTATTCTGCACGTCTCCGCTCTGATCAGAGGGAGTGAGATGAGCGAGACATGAGGTGTGCTGTAGCATCAGCTGTTGACAACACGCTCACACCTTCCACAGTGTGTAAGGTTCGGTCTGTTTGAGTAGGCACACACTCGCACACACACACAGACACAGACAGACACACAGACCTGCTGAAGTCCTTCTCGGTCTCCAGCTCCTCTTCTCCGTGGCCCAGACGCAGCAGGTGGCGCTCATCGATGTCCAGAGCCATGATCTTCTCAAAAAGCTGGTTCAGAGCCTGCATGAGGAGGGAGGGGCTGTTATAATATTGTGTGTAGCATAGGATAACGCTACATAAACATCCATATGATATAAGTAAACATCAGTAACTCTTAAAACAAAGGTGAGGACAGAAGAGCAGAAATAACACTGTCCTTTTGTTTAGTTAGGAACATGGATCAGGAACCACAGTGTTTTGCATCATAACCCATGTAAAAACACATTATAAAAGAATGTATTATTGTGATGTAATTAAATCTAGGCCTGAATTGATTTATTGAACTTTAAAAAAGATTTAATTGACACATAAGTAATTGCAGCGCTTTACACCGCTTTATCTGTATGGTGCCGTACTGCAATGACCCTGACTCCTGCTGAAGTTAAAACAGGGGTACCTAACTTTGTACAATGTAATATGCCACTAGTTTCTGGCACTAAAACAGTTTGTTCTGTCACTTGTTCAAAAGATCTGATCCAAAGATGTGACCAACAATGAAAGAAATAATATCTTCAATATTATTGGTCACATCTTTGGATCAGATCTTTTAGATGGTAAAGTGAAAAGGAGTGAACCACCCTCAATCAGCTCTCAGCCCAAAGCGTCAACAACAGACCTGTTTATTACAAGTATGCATGATGAGCAACATGTTCAAGGTAACACCTTATCTATGCATGAAAAAATACAATATAGACTTTGTCTCAACTGTCTTGTAAAAGTATAAAATCCTGTATCATACTTTTGTTAAATATATACGAAATATAAAGTTAAGGATGCTGAGTCAAAAGTAAGAGTGAATGGAGAACTCCAAATAACTAATAGTTGCAGCAATAAAGTAATGATAAGAAAGAAACTAAAATCCTGCGCGCTACATATAAACACACGTTACCTGATTTGAATGTGTTACGATGAGCGTCCTTTGGTCTGGGAAATTGTGATAAATGTTGGAGATGATTTGGACGGCTACGTCAGTCTTTCCGGTCCCAGGAGGTCCCACCACCTGTAACCGACGAACACATCAACAAGAGTTTGAATGTTAAAAGGTCAATGATTAGATAAATACCATTTTATACTTGCTTTAACAGACTAACCGTTGTTAAAGCTGCGTGTATACTACAGCAAAGTACACTTCACCTCATTAGTAGGCATACATATTCATTGTCCTTACAATGTGTCTCTAACATGAGTCACTGCAGCTAAAAATAGCAGTAGTAATTATATTTGTGCATAAACAAGTGCATAATCAGCTGCACGGCTCTGGCTCCGGCACGTGCCAGGAGCAGAGGTTACGAGAGGTGAGAGTCAAGTGTGCCGAGCTACTTTATGTCCCTGCTGACAACCTGGCAGCCATTTTACTTTGGCAATGCACAGGCAAATATGTCCTACCGCGTTAGCCTACGACGCAAGAGCAGGCGATGATACCAGCGTTTGGACAAGGGCGAAGAGAATCATAATAAATAAGGTACTACTAAATAGACATTTCATTGGTCGCAAATCACAAGGCTCCATAGTTTAGTCCTTGAAAAGAAAAAAACATGACAGGGAACATTATATTGATTATTTGGGTGTATTTTGTCTTGAAGCAGATAGGAAGAACGGCCATAATGGCTATCGGAGCCTAATTTCTCGCTCGGCAGATATCAATCTAATGTGTTGTTGACCTCAGTGAATAAAGGCATTTAATGGGCTTCACAAAGACTTGGACTTGACTTGGGTTTGTGTGTCCAGAGACTTGGACTGACTACATCTCTGGTCAATGGTCCAACCAGACTTATTTTGTTACACGTAACATTTATGAAACCATCAAATATTGGGTCCCCAAAAAATTCATGGCATTGTTTATGGTATTAATATGTTGTGGATAGGCATGGAGCACTGACCATGGTGAGTCCCGGCTGCATCCCGGCTCGAATTGCTTCAATCTGGGTAGGGGTGAACTGGATAGTGTTCCTGCAAAGAATCGGTATTGTGAAATAGAACACAATGCATCCCACAATTACAGGCATAGACCTTTTTAAATTCAATGTTATGATGGTGACATTGCAGAGTAAAGTATACGGTGTAGCCAGCTCACCTCTTGGGCTGGTTATAAGGATAGGGCCCTCTGTTGGGAGCCACATACGGTTCCACCATCAGGGTCTTGTCTTCCTGAGGCCTCTGCTCTTCACCAGTTTTCCTCTTCTTACCTTTGTCTGGCTGTGCAGGGATGGGAAACGTGATCCTGGTTTGTCCAAAAAAAAAAAAAAAAATAGATGAAAATTCACAAATGAACAAAGAGGACAGCACAAAAACGAAATGATTTGACTTGTATAGAGGATGTTCCGTATTAAAATACAGAGAGAAATATATGCCATTGTAGTGTAACTAGTTACTTTTATAATTTTGTCAAAACAAATGGAAGACACATGTGAGAGAACACACACACACACACTACATTCTTCATCTATAGTTGCCACACTACTTTCAAACCAAGCTAACAGAGAATACACTACAAAAGCCTCAAGATATATTGTAAAGAAGAACAGTTATGCATTATTTTGGACATTAATAATGACCATAGGTCTATTTAGTTTTTGGTTTCATATTTTAGAATATGAAAGAATAACTCGAACATATATGGGGACAGAAGTATCAAGGCCATGTCTTTTCATATTAGAAATGTCCAACACTATTTTAGTTTATTATAATGTACAACAACAAACCAAAAAAAAAAAAAAAAACAGTGGTCGTAGGAACATTGTTAGTAGAACAAAGAAGGGTGAAGTTGAACACTATGAGATATGCCTTTGTTTTAGATGGCATAAATCTTCTCTGAACATGATGTACTAAGGTTAAAATGACATAGTATAACTGGTTTGAGATAGGTGCCTTTAGACAGAAGAAGAGATACAAGTTGATTCTAGTAATTCATATTACTGTGGTCTGTTTTTTACGAGGAGCAATCTTATCTTAACATTGTTAACTTTGGAAATGGCAGCATGTAATAACTGAGTTTTCGTTGGGATGTAGGGCTGGGCAATAAATCAAATTTAGGCAATTATCGGCTTTTGAAAAAATCTTCTGAAAAATTTGAAAATCGTGAAATCGAATGAAGGATATTGTGAGAGTTCCAGTAGCACATGAAATATACTTATATCAGCACAGTCTGTACAAGACTTGTATAATACGTATTGGGGAAACAAATTAAAAATAGTTTTGAAACTGGAATCTTGAGCGGAAAGATCAAAACATATTTTTAAGGGCAAAGTCTATCTTAGGTGAATATCAATTTAAAATAGATATTGACCAAAGCAGGAAATAAAATCAAGATTTTACTTTTTAGCCATATCGCCCAGCCCTACTGGGATGGTACATTCCTATCTTTTCACCAATCTTGCTCAAACTATGTAATAGGAGGATGAATTCTAACGGTAGAGCAGAAAAAGGCTACCTGAACGGGGGCACTTGTAGCTCGGGCCTGTCTTCCTTGACTTGGATGGTGTAGCCGGGGAAGCTGGAGCGCAGGTGGTCCAGGGTGAGGAATGTGTCGTTGAAGTCCAGCGTGGAGATTTGGTTGGGCATTTTGGAGTAGTGGGCGCTGCCGGGGTCCCCATAACCGAGGATGATGTCGTGGAGCCAGTCTGGCACCACACACTCTGTGTTCATAAGGTGCCTAATTGTCTCCAGCACGGCCTTAGGTGAAAGGGAAAGAAAACACTTAGAATCCATGTGAAAAGTTGGACTAAGCCTTTTACCAAAACACAGCTAAGACAGAGTCTTTTACAGTGGCTTGTAAAAGCACTAAAACAATTTGAAATTGGAACGTTTTACGGCCACTAAAGACTGTACCTTTGATTATTTTATTTTTTCCAGAAAGACCAACCCAAATTGATATATGGTTTTGTTATAAGGGGCAACTGTTTCGATGGTGACCCACTTTTTTCGAAGCGGCTGCTACTTGTAATAGACAAGCTATAACTTAGCTTGAAAAGTTGAGGTTTAAAGCATGTACATGAGTGTTATCTAATATCAATATAATTAAAGCTGTTCTGAGATGGTTAATAGTGTATTGGTCATAAAACAGCATCATGAAGTCCAAGGATCATACCAGAGAGATCAGGGCCTGATACGTGTGAAAAAGTGACGTCAAAACTACAGCCAGTCCTCACCTTGAAGTTGTTCTCTTTGGGCTTACGCCTCATGATGATGTTGAAGGTCTCGTAGGGGTCCTCTGTTCCGTTCTGGATGTTGTTGGTCATGTCCTGCTGGTACTGGTTTGGGTCCAGCCACACACGGAATGTTCGGGTGTCTCCCAGGAGCTTGGGCCGGGGTTCAGGGCCTGCACCAAGACCAAAGAAAGGTAAACAGCCCAAGGGAAGAGAAAGATATATATTTGACTGTAAAACATTAAATCAAAAGACAGTAAAGGGACATTTTTCTCTGCCATTTAAAAACATAAATATACACTTTCTAATTTACTTTTGTCTTTTTTAGGTTAAGACTAAGGTACACTTTATTGATCCCTGTAGGAAATGTTTCCTCTGCATTTGGCCCATCCTTCAATGCCACTAGGTCAGCCATTCCCAAAGTCAGTAACAACGGGGCCCCCTTAAAAATCACACGGGTCTGCGCGGCCCCCCGAAATAATAACCAAGACAACGTTAAAAATAGGCTCTTCTCATTATTATATTTGGGGGAAATAGCCTCTGCTACAAACATGTAAATGACACACCCAATTTTGTAATGCAAAAATGATAACAATTTGATTATTCAAGTCAAATAATGAACACAAATATTTTTATATTACAAACTAAATATTATTAATTTAACATACAATAATTATATAGATATTTTTTCTTTTTTGATGACCTCTGCAATACCCCACTTTGGGACTGCACTAGGTTATCATGCATGCAGATGTCCTCCAAAATAATGCATTGAAATTAAGCTTAAACTTTAACAGTCATTTATAAATTTCAATTGAGCAACAATACTGAATGAAATAGGATGTCTTGGTGGGTGTCGTGTACCTTCTTCGATGACCCTCCCCTTGTCATCCAGCATGCCCTGCACCTCGCACCCCCTGACGTACACCAGGCCGGTCTGTTCCAAGAAGGGCTGGCGGCGGTCGAAGCGCGTTCCGTAAGGAAGGCAGGGACGTACCGTCACCAGGAAGCACACGTCATGCTTCCGGAGACCTGCGGGACATCATCAACCAGCAATCAGCATTGGAATTGTCAAGCTGGTTTGTTACCATGAATGAAACAGAGTTAAAATGATGTTATTTATTGTTGCACCTTCCCACTCGTTCTTGATGTGGTCCTGCACGCTGAGGTTGACCGTGACGTCGGCACGCACACGGGCCGGCCAGCTGTCCCCGATGTTTGGTTTGGCCACCTCCACGATGGAGAAGGCCGTGATGATCTGAGCCATCCTGGCCCAGCCTCCAAACACCACGCCCCCGTACTCAGACTCCCTGTGGACACATACAGGTGAGAGTAAGAGAAGAATCCTTAAAGAAAATACTGGAGGTTGCGTCTTGCTGTGTGGTTAGACGACTCGCCATGGTTTCATGCGCCACACCACGTCCTCGATGTCCTGCCGGATCTCGTAGGTAGACTCTAGGCGGAAGAGGTTGAAGTTCCTCAGCAGGTAGTCGTGGAGGGTGAGGAACTGCAGATTCAGCTTAGGTAAGGCCAGACACCCTGGAACATCATGAGACAGGGACAGGAGAACAATTTTTAAAAGGAAGTCATTTGGACTGAGGTTTTAGCGTAGACATTCTCTTTCTACCTGATGTAGTTGGAATATAAGCTGTATTAGGCGTGGTCTTGTATCAAAAGCAAAGATAAACAGTGCTCAATTGACAAAATGTTTAAACAACCAAAAATTCCTTCGAAACAATTCTCCATAGGACCTTTTGGGGCTCCCAATATAAAACACTAGTTGTGACTCTCAAAGACACCCAGTGACATTGGTCAGTGACAATCAACATATGTGTAATGAACAAACAAGTTTATTTGTTAACCTCAGTAACTCAATAATGCAGACAATTTACCCTCTCCTGAGTAGTACTCGGTGGGGACAATGTTCTGGTCCCAGATGATCTTCTCAGTGGGGTACAGAGGCATCAGGTTCAGCTGCTCTATCTGAGAGATCCTGCGCTCATGACGGGACACCTGGAGAGACCAAGGACCAAGAGGAGAGAGTGCACACGACGTCAGTATTGGCATGTTTCGAACGGAATAGAATTAATGTTTTGACCAATCAATCCCATGTAATCTCATAAATATAAGATAGGCCACTTTACCTGTGGAACATTCAAACATGTGTATGAATGTATCTCAATTGCTTCAGAAATTGTATAATGGTAATAATAATACAAATAATATTAATAATGGGGCTCAGTTGGTAGAGTTGGTGTAGTCTTCAGGCCTAATGGTCATGGGTTTGTTCCCACGACGAGATCTACTCCATCTACTTCCACTGATGTCTGCTGCTGGCTATGTCCTTGGGCAAGACACTTCTGAGATTTATTGATTCACATATGACAGAACTGAAGTATACTTGTGTTCTTCATTAGTGCCACATTCGGAAATTTGTGACACAATCCAATACAAAGGTCTGTCTATGTACATAAAGTAAAAAACTTAATTCCTGAGCTTTACAAAGAGGTTGGCTGAATGACACTACAAACTTTCTGTGATTATTTTCTAACCATGTGAATCTGAGGTATGCAATTTCAATCTGATGCTAAGTGAATTCTGAGGTCAGAATATGAAGTTGGGGAATGAACCACAAACAAACTCATAACAATATGCTGTACAGGATATGTGTCTCTATAAAAGAACATGTTAAGGTGTCAAATGAGTCAGTATGAATATTTTATGAAGAATCTCACATGAACAGGGTGTTAAAATGTAAAATGTGGCCTATACAGGTTTAATGTGTGATAAAAAGCAGCAGTCATTACCAGCAGCTCCAGGAGAAAGTCCTTGTCATAGCTGGTGTCCTGTCCTTCAGGCAGCTCCGGCAACAGGCACAGGTATGTCGCCACCTGGTGCAGTTTGTTAGGACTGCGGAAGACAAGGAAACGGCAGAACAATTATTTCCACTGATATGTACTCTGTCTGCACCACATACAAGTTATTATTGGCAGCATACTTTTCACCAAGCCTGAAGCTGATCATTGACAATGTACAAAAAAATCATGTGTAATGAAATAAAAAAGGAATATACGGTGAATGTAATCAGGAGTGAGTTTTAGGTTTTTGAAAGTGAAAATATAGTTTATAAAATGTACATTAATTGATGGAAGGAGTCCATCAAGTCACAGTTTAATGATTTGTCATGTCATAGCATAGCAGTTTTAAAACACAGTATAGACATAAGGATATTCGCTTGGATAAAGCTCAAAACAAGTGACCGATGTTGTAATAAAGAGCGAGTTAAGCATTCCCAGTTCTACTTTATGTGATTGGTTGTATGATTTTCTACTAAAGGGAACCAATGTACCCAGTCCCAGACACTCCTACATCTGATCACAATTGTCAGGAAGTCTGAGTCTGGCTGGTCAAGCGCCTAAAGAGCAGCGTGCGGCGTGCGTTGGTGACTTCGGTGTGAACCTTGCTTAAGATGGATGCTTTTGCAGTTATTGGTCAAATCGACGGCGGCTGCAGGACGAGTTGGTTACACGAGAAGTCACCAGTTAATTGGTTTGTATTGCATATTTGTCAATGCAGCATCTTCTACAATATTGTTATACTATATTATTGCATCTAGATTTCTTCCCCCACTCTATCGTCAAACAACAAACGACACATTGCTATACTTCTCCCTGTCCGCTCCCATTGTCCGGCATAACTGCGGTCAACAGCATGTAAGTCCGGCCCCCCACACCGCCTCGGCTTATCTGGCACTTTTCGTGTTCGCATTGACACTGCCCTCCTGCTCGGTCAGCATGTGTGCGCGTGTGAAGCCGCCGCGGGATTACTGGGGGAAAAATCAAAGTCCAGGCGTGGCCCACCGCTCCGCATGCAGAGCTGGGCTAATCGCGCTGACGTGGACGGAGAAGGACAGAGAGGCCGAGGTGATGTGACAAGCCCTGAGTGTACGTGTGTGTGTGTTTTGGCTGTGTATGTGTGTGTGTGTGTGTGTGCTGAGGGTGCGGTTTGGGGTGGATGAGCTGGCATGTGAGATGCAGCCATAAGCAACTAAACACTAACTGAGGGGCAGGGGAAAGCAGGTGTACATGTCGTTGTTAGAAATGTGGACAAAAATGGTATAAAGTCCACTGCATCACCAACACTACAGTCCATCACCGCCTACAGCAAACTCCCACCATAATAACAATTTCTTCTCCCCTGCTGTCGGACTCATGAACACATCACTGACTCTTGCCCTTTACGACCGTCACCCCATACTACTGTCACTACTGCACTGTTAAATGTCTCTTGTGTGTACTTAGATCATTCGTAAATAGTGGTCATTTTAATACATTCTATTAAGATCTTCTATGTATGCCTTACTCACGACCTCCAGGCCCAAAGGCCAATCCTCTACCAACTGAGCTACTGTCGCCCCGTGGGACCTACTCCAACTGCTCCCACTGATGACTGCTGTCGTTGTGTCCTTGGGCAAGACACTTAACCCCACATTGCCTGAAGCCCCCCGCTGAAAGATCAAGGCTGTTTCACAATTGACGGAGCAGCCATCTTCCTGTGGACTCACCCCCTGCAGAAGATCAGTGAGGGACTGGTGCTATGAGCGTTGGGTGGCAGCTCTCATTGCCACCCCCCCGACCCAGAAATGGACAAAGGGGTTGAAAATGAAATGAAAAAAAAAATGAAATGAAAAATGAAATGTATGCCTTATATCAAGTTCAACTTTGATAACTTCTTTGCACTTTGAACCAAAGCAAATTCCTATTACTTACAATAGTAATAAAACAAAATCTTATCATAACTCCTCTAGTTAAATCCTAGCACAGAGATTGCATCAGTAATCAGTACTTAGGAGCTACATCACAGGCAGGATTTCTTAAAAACAGTCATTTGTCGTTTTACATACAGTCCCTTTGAATTAAATTGGTTGAAATAAAATGTTCAGTCAGTCATCACTTAAATTCCCAAAGAGCTTATAGCCAAGATAGATCAGAATGGACTTGCATTTTTCATTACCACATTTCATTGAAAATGCACAGAAACTATAGAAAAATTTACCCAAAAATGGTTTTTATAAATGATACTTGCGTTTCTAAACCCGTTCATAAACATATTCATATCATACACAACCAAAACATTATCTGTTTGTAAAGGAAATCATGGGATCTGAATATTTGCAGTTATTTCAAATAGATTCCCATAAATCGTGCAGCCCTTACGTGAAAGCACCGGCCCACCAGTCACCTCAGTCAGACGAGTCTTTAAAAACAGATCTGGCCCGTCATGGGGACTGCTGTATTTGCTTCTGTGTGAATGCACCCATATATACACAAGTGGTTTTAACCCTAGTGCTATCCTCGGGGCAAAATACCCTAAATTAGGGTCTAAATAACCCAAGACTGGTGAAGATAGGAGAAAACCTCAAAATTCAGCTTGAAAAAAAAAGTAGGGTATTTTTTATCACTGTGGCGGGTCAATTTGAGCCGAGGATAGCACATTGTGATGAGTGATTATTGCATGTTTGAATCATTTACCGTATACCTGAGCCACACCTGAAATTCCATGGCTCCTCTGTGCGCCAATTTGAGTGGAGCTGAATAGTTTTAGTAACATTATTGAATTCAAAATGTACTGCGTAGTGCATTTATAATAAATTGAGCAGACAAAAGCAGAGACGTAAGAAAATTAAGTTTGGACACAACACAACAGCTTCTCACACTACATTGCCAATGAAACCCAAAGCGACATTCTCAACCAAGCAATATATATCAAAGCCATATATCAACGCGCGCCCTTTCTAAACAGACCCAGGCTAAAGCATATGGAGAGCGCTTCATCGGAGCGAGGGCACTTTGGGGGGTTTTTGGCGGGCTAATATCATCTGACAAACACAGCTGTTCAAAGAGGTGCTCCTCAGTCTGTGCACGCGCCCTCGATCGATGGACTTAATGAGGCGTGCACTGCTCTCTGGCTGCGGCCGGCTGCTTGTCCGTGGGCTGGCTGCTGTTAGTGCAGTGGTGGTGCAAGGGAGCGAGGGCCGGGGCCGTTTGCTAACAAGACAGTCCCTGAAATAAGCCAGAGTGATGACGGAAAAGGTGGAGCGCGACGGTTATTCTAACGTGGAGATATTGTGCACAGTCATCTTAGGAGCCGCAGACATGTTACAAGCCTTTCCATTTCCATGTACAGCAGCAGTGTTGAGATTGATTCATACATGTTTGCATAATGTAAAATCTCCAGCAATCAAGAAGCTATTTCTCAGACGTTCCCTTTTGTTTATGATTTTAAACACACCTCAAAAATTTATAATTTATTTTAAATGCTCGTTTTGGAATCTCACATCCAAAACGTTCACCATTATCCCTTGTATTGCATTAGGCAGTCGCTTCGTCTAAAACTGAATGCTGGATCTCACCACTATAATGAGGGGTAAAACAAATAATCTCAATCTCTCTTCTCCACAAGACATCAAAGCATTTGTGTAGTCTGTTTAAGAGGATGAGTTGTTTGGTAATGCTTCCTGTTGCTTGGATGTGTGGAGGAAACGTTGAGCGCAGCCATGCAAAGCGCAGCATCTGTCCCACCAGCCTCTGCCAGTCAGCCCCCCTCGTGTGCCCCATGTGCCTGCTGGCTTTACCTCAAATGGCCAAAGTGCTTCTTCAAAGACTCTCGGGTGTCCACTGCCGCCACATTGGACAGAGCAAAGTCCAGGAGCTCAGGGAAGTGGGCGAAGGCAGCCCTCTGGGAGAGACGAGACAGTGCAGTCAGTAACAGTGAAAGGAGAATAGACTGGTCCTAGAGTAGTCTTACATGATCTACAGCAATGAGGATATAACACAAGATACTAATTGTGTTTAAATTCAGTTTCAATTGTAGTGCACACAGTGTTATTACGGGCGGTATAAGGATGGTGGTGGAGTGATGAAGTGTAATATTCTGGGGCTCCATTTGAAGTATTGATTGATGAGACTGCAGTGCAGCATTTCACTGACAAACGTGCTGTGGAGTGCACAGGGCATATGTGCACTTAGAATACCAACCTTGTAAAGTTTTGTGGGACAATACATTTTAAGAAATCCAATGAAACCTGTGTATGAATTATATTAGACTGAAAGAACTAGGCGAACCTCGTTGCCGATACTGTATCCAAGGGTAATGTGTTTTGACTGCTGTCGTCTTAATAAGATTACCAAATTATTTTGTTGCTCTATTCCTGGATTGCATTATTTGTTTGTCACAGGACACAGCAGACCGAGAGGCCAGCAGAATAGAAAAAAATGCATTTTCCCCATGTGTAAACTTGTCCCGCACAGCTTGGTTTGATGGGAACGCAGCTTCAGAGGTGCATGGATAAACTAGTTTGTCAGAGCACAAGTATGTGTGTGTTTGTCATGTCCATTTGACAGCTTTTTGCTCATGAACATAACGGCTCCAACATTGGTCACCTTACGAATGTCATATTTGGTACGCTTCAAACAGGATGTGAAGTCACCGCTTGTGCACCTGTAGTGAGATGATCTTGTCGTAGTGGAGCGTTGTCATCTCCTTCTGCGTCAGCGCGTTCCCAGTTTGGTCGTTGATCTCAAATCCGGCGTAGAACTTCAGCATATCCAACAGCTAAACAGCAGATACAAGTGTTAACCTTCATTCGGATAGAACACATCCAAAAGGCAAGATGTGGAAGATGCGGAGCCTCATCCACAACTACAGTTTATTTAAACATTTTGCAATTATACACAACCGCAAACAGAGTTGCAATATAATCATTACTATCATAATCACAGAAATGTGGGCAATTATACCTATACTTATCAAAAGCAACGCGTGTTTTCAAACATTGGTATCAGTCAGCCCCTGATTTAGTCTTTGCATGTTAGCTCTTAGCAACAGTGACGGTGATTTAGTGTCTAATAATGACTTATGAACTTAAAACAGTGCTTTGATGCCATAGAATGGAGACCTTGGGAACTTATTTATTTTCTTAGGCTCAAAGCAACTAACCAACATTATCCAAAAGGTGTGAGGGGAAATATGTGAATTTTTTAGATAATGGGGGGGGGGTATTGAATGTGTTGGTGAGGCATACCTGACAGAAGAGGTGGCCCTCCTTGTCCCGCTGGGCGAGCCCTGACAGGTGACAGTGCACCACCAGATGAGAGTCGTCCAGGAGTGTGTTGAACCATCGCCGGGTGGGCAGCAGAGCCTGAGGGCAGAACGTTATTAGGCAAGGCAAGGCAAGGGAAGTTTATTTATATAGCACAATTCATACACAAGGCAATTCAAAGTGCTGAACCTAGTAATATTACTGTTGCACTGCAATGTCACAACCCATTGTTTTCTAAAATCACTTCAGTTTTAACATCTTACACCAGTTGTATCTAGAGGTGTTAAAAAATTACATTTTCTCAATTCAATTCGCCACTTCAGGGTCATAGAAGGTCTTCAGAAGCCCCTGCACTCTAAAAAACCTGAGCCTCTTCAGCATGGAGAGCCAGCTCCGGCTCTTCTTGAAGATGGTGTCTGTATTGTTTTTTTTTTTTTTATTAAAATAATCGCCTCATAGTTTACCATTGGGATATAGTGACCTATGAATTGTGACACATACGGCATTGTTAGATACAAGTTTACTGGCCAAAAGTTTGGATGCACCCTGGAGTCCTGAGAAGAGAAGATGAATGAATCTGCTCCCATCTCGCCTCCATCTTTGATCAAGCTTTGTCACTTAGCGCTGCGTTATTCATCTTTCCATTCCTGCCTGGCGGACGTGGAGAGAGGAAGTATGGATTTCAGGGAAGTGACTGTGTGTAAAAGGATAGCGTAGGAAGTGGACGTTTTGCGGACAGTGCCGGGAACATGGAAGATGCGTCTGTCAGCAACAGCAGTGCTGGAGCGGGGGACTAGATTGGGAGGCTCGGGGTAACTCGAGAGCTGCAGACGTGGCAGCGGACTTCACTGAGGGAAGGATGTCCTATCCCTCTGCACTTTAGCGTTATGCGTGGTTAAAGGCAATGACTAGTTCAATGACAGAACGCTTCATCTAAACTTGTAGCATGCTTTTAGTCAGACGCAAGAATAATACAGACAAAGAAGAAAGGATTAATAAGACTGTACATGACATCGGTGTCTGAGGATTTATAGCAGCATAACGAGTTTAAAAAAGGTCCTGATAACAGTTGGAAAGGTTGGTATGATGTTTGGACCTGTGTCCGCTTTTCACAATGAGGAAGACCGGAACGTGTCAGAACAAACTTTAACAGCCACAACCCCCTGGGAATCACATTATAAAGCGTATAATCCATGTAGAGAAATGTAAACATTATTGAACATATTTTTTACAAAGAATACTTTATATCAATATGTGTCGGTAAACGTCGAGCCTATGATTAACAGTCTTAGAATCCACAATATAGAAAAGGGTCCATACCTCCAAATCAATCAGCAGCTCAATGAATCGCTCACAGTAGTGTACTTGGTCCATGGACAATGGCCCTATTGGGAAAGAAAAACAAAATATTACAATATTATCTTGTATATTACAGTAAATGAAGAATAGCAAAACCAACCGTCTTTCTAACAGAAATAGTATAAAAAACTTGAACTGGGCTGAAGATTGTCAAAAGATACAAAAATGTAATATTATTGCTCTCAAAACAGTTTGGCCTGATCACATGCATGTATTTTTGACCTCTGCCACATCACAAAGAGGACCACCCCCACTCATCCCATGAGCTCTCAGTATGTCAAAGATAAAATGTTGTCAAATAAGATAAATACAGCATCAATAACCTAAAAGGAGCAGGTCACAAGGACAACAGGGCTCGCTTGCCCCAGTCCAGTCTGGCTCCACTAAGGTTATTGATGTCGGTCTGCAGACAGACTCAGGCGCACAGGTTTGGCAACTTGTGACCTGCGTCTCGTTGTATAAAGTGTGTGGTGAGGGGCTTTAAAGGTAAACATCACCACTGTGCGCATACACACAAGTGCTATTGGGGTTTTCAGTTTCATACAGTCTCTAAAAGTTAAACCGCTATCACCATGAGCGGTGTTGTATCGCAGAACCTTACTTCACCATCTCTGTGCTTGTGCCAGAAGCTGTTTGCTCCCTCTCTTTGTGGTTTTTGTAGAGTTATTCTGAAATAATGGGGGCTGAGTATAAGCGACAAATGTGAAAGCACCGATCATTCACACCCTGGTAAGGAAATAAGTAATTACTGGTCGTCGCGCCCCCTCAGTCACTTCACTTTATTGGAATGTAACAGGTAGTAGTAGTAGTGCATTTTCTTCTAAATTTCTTTTGTGAACAGTCCCTTAAAGCTGGGCTACCAAACTTTCAACCCACAAAAGGTATTGGACTATCATTTTAGCTCTCACACATTTTGGTTTTTACATACAGTGGGGCAATTGTGCAAGTTCTCCCACTTAAAATAATGACAGAGGTCTGTAATTTTCATCATAGGTACACTTCAACTGTGAGAGACAGAATTTGAAAACAAAATCCAGGAATTCACATTGTAGGATTTTTAAAGAATTTATTTGTAAATTATCTCTCGAGAAGATCTGCATGGAGGAATGGGCCAAAACACCAGCTACTGTGTGTGCAAACCTGGTAAAGACCTATAGTAATTGTTTGACCTCTGTTATTGCCAACAAAGGTCATATTACCAAGTATTGAGTTGAATTTTTGTTATTGACCAAATACTTATTTTCCACCATAATTTACAAATAAATTCTTTAAAAAATCCTACAATGTGAATTCCTGGATTTTTTTTCACATTCTGTCTCTCACAGTTCAAGTGTACCTATGATGAAAATTACAGACCTCTGTCATTATTTTAAGTGGGAGAACTTGCACAATTGGTGGCTGATCATCTCTGTGGAGTCCTATCGTTTCCTGGGCACCACCAACACCCAGGACCTCAAGTGGGAGCCGACCATCAGCTCCCTCATCAAGAAGGCCCAGCAGAGGATGTATTTCCGGCAGCAGCTCAGGAAAGCCAAGCTGCCTGCACAGATGTTGGTGCAGTTCTACACGGCCATCATCGGGTCCATCCTCACCTCCTCCATCACCGTGTGGTTCGCTGGAGCCACAGTCAGGGACAAACAGAGACTACAGCGCATTGTGCGCTCTGCAGAGGAAGTGATCGGCCGCAGCCTTCCATCGCTGCAGGACCTGTACGTCGCCCGAGCTCGAGGCCGGGCTGGTCGTATCACAGCCGACCCCTCTCACCCTGCACATGGACTATTCCAACCACTCCCCTCAGGTAGGAGGCTGCGGTCCATCAGGACTAGACCTCCCGCCACAAGAACAGTTTCTTCCCCTCTGCTGTTGGACTCTTGAACACTTCTTAACCTGTCCCCCCGCCCTTTATAAAGTCACTTTACTGCCCATCATACGTCACTTTACTTCACTGTACTGCTGTCACCATGTGCACTTGTATATTGTAAATAGTAACTGTAACTATTACTATTACTACTGTACTCTATTTTAAATTTAAATGTATTCCTTAGAAGTGTTTTTTAATCTTTATTTTTTATTATCTCTTTCTGACTGTTGCACTGAGCCAAAGCAATTTCAAAGTCTGTGACTTCCTGTTACTTACGTGCAAATAAAAATGATTCTGATTCTGATTCTAAATACTTTTTTGCCCCACTGTATATATACCTTCAAGTATGCAAAAGATAATATGTTTGATCTGGTTTGTTCAGAGTATTTCTGTTGAGAAACCCATCCATCCATCCATGTTCCTCCTTTATGTCCATTTCCGGGTCGAGGGACTCACAAAGCACAAGCCCCTCAATGATCCTCCTGCCGATGGTGAGTCCACAGGAGGATGGCTGCTCTGTCAATGAGAGCATATCCTTGAAATTTCAGTGGGGCTTCAGGCAAAGTGGGGTTAAGCGTCTTGACCAAGGAGAAAATGACAGCAGACATCAGTGAAAGTTGGTCTTGTGCTCAAACCCACAACCTCGAGGCTCAAAGGCCAATGCTATTGGGCTAAAATGCAATAGTTATTAGGTAGCCTGGGAATACCCATGCAGCAGTATGCGCTCAAACAGCCTGGAAATTCAGGGTGGAATTCGCATGGATTTGGGGCCCAATCACAGAACTGGGAGACGATGAGGCACCTTTCCAGTGACAGAAGTTTGTAGTTTGTTTACAGATCAAGCAGACGGCAGCAGACACAGAGCAATCTTCCCTCATGTTTCACTTGCACAACAACTTCATATCTCAATCATATTTCTGTCGCGAAAATAGACGCTATCGGGTACAATTTATATGATGGTTGCATAAGTGCAGGAGCATATGACATTTGTGGTGACCAATAAAAGAATATGGACAATGGTAAATCACAATATAGGGTCTCACTAGACTTATTAGCTGTATCCAAAGTCATACCATTGTTGTGTACAATAATCGCATTACAGTTTAGTATTGGGATATATCATTATCAAATGGAGTCATCCTCTGGCTACTTTCTAATGTCCAGAGCACGACTCCTCCGGCCTTTGTTGCCACTCAGCAGTGTGGCTCTCCAAAGCCGTGTGGACAGCCAGGGGCCCACCTGCTGTCTCCGCTGAGTCCGGCACAGGGGCATACTGGGAGCCCGAGCCTAATTACACTGTGCTGTGAAGAGCCCCACTGTTTGCCAGAGCGTAATCTGCGCCGTCACGCCGGTCAGGGCCTGAACGCAGTGGGCAGCTCTGTTTTTAGAACCCAGGTAGGGGGCACCACGTCCACCCGAGTTACTCCACACGTGCTAGACTGGGGCATGCGAGGACCGGGAGCACAACAATGGATTTAAAGGACGGAGAAAAGAATTTCCTTCGTTGTAAACTTACAGAACACATTTTCTGTTATCAATGGTTGACAAATGTGAGCATTTTTAAAAGAAGAAGATTTACTTTAAGATATAGACGCCCTATTTATTATTTGGTGGTGTCAACTGGTGAAAAATTTTGTGATGCAATAAGATGCAATTATCTGCTTTGAGCTGGGAACTGACAGGCTGAGTGAGAGTGGTCCTCTATTTTACACCTTTTTTCTGCAAAAGCTGATTTAAAAGGGGCCATATGTAATGAGAATATTGGCCGGAATCTTCCTTTCTGAGACACAATCCACCTGCTGGGGTTTAGCTAGAAACAATATAACTGTGTTATGTGTGAGTATTTAATTGTGAATCTACTTTCATTTAATCAAAAGTGTTGTGCTATTTATGTTGATGAATTTTGTCATAAAGAGACCCAAATTACATATCCCGCAACCCAAATGAGAGCCTCATTCTGTTCTCTGACTAAATCTAACAAGACACAACCTGATTGAAAGAATGCAGCTCTAAAGAAGGTGATTTGATTGGAAATAATCCCCAAACTAATGTAGAAGCAATAATTGTTTCAATGAATGATGGTGAATCAGTAAATAGACCTTAGATGGAAAGCTACTCTGGATGGGGCACATCTTTGTGGACGTCCTCACCTGTGGCTGGGATGGACATCAACACTTGAATGAACTGTTTGATGAGCGCCGACAGGAAGGTCCTCTCCTTCTTTGACCTGACGATAACATGGGGCATGTGTCAAAAGACAGCTCTGTTTTAAGAATTACACTTTCAAACATGCAGTAAAAAGGCCTTACTGCTCTGCTGCGTCGGCGTCCATCTTGTCCAGTTTCTTCTTGATGAGATTCCAGAACTTCTGCAGTTTGGGGACCTTCTTGAGCTCATGTTGGAGCCTGGACTGCAAATATCCAGAGGGAAAAGACATTTAATTGTTTTTATTAAGGACAACAAAACAGACAAGAACACATTAACATTTAACGTGAACACAAAAAGAACACAAAAACAAGGACAGTACAATCCCGACAACCTACATGACTAGACAAAGCAATACATTTGTTCAAAGCTAGGGATGTTTATTTGGGGTTTGAATTTGATACTTTTTCCCAAAAGGTGGTGCTGATTTTGAAACCACAATCTTTTTGAAAGACTTGAAATAAAAATAAAAATGAAAAAAGCAGAATATGTGAGAATAAACTGTGTAAACAATCATCTGACAAGAGACTACTGAAATAACTATTGTGGGGTGTGGTTGCTTTTGCGAAACGCAGGATGCTTACTGGCAGTAGACACATCCACATGGGCAGAGAGATGAGCTGCTGCACCTGCTCCCGGATCAGGTCCACCTCCTGTGAGAGCACAAAGGCACGATTAGGCACAGTTTCAGGGCTGCTGAGGAGCCACAGAATGCAGCAGAAGTGTAAGGAGGCCTCTGCAGTGCTCCACCCTACTGCGGACGGACTGGAGGCACAGCAGGAGTGGGGAGACAGTGACATCTGGAGGAGCCATGGGGAACCACATGTGTGCACTTTGAAATCAACTACACTGGTTCCAGACAGAAAAGTCACTGGGGAAAAATAATTGCTGACTTTCTGTAACATGGACAATAATTATCAGAAGTACAAGATAACAGAGCAGGGGCAGGTGAAAGACTGAACCTGTGGTCTGACTCTGAAAAGAGAGGTGAAGGAAGAGGGAGGGAGGGTCTGATGCTCTCTAGGCGCTATCCAGCCAGGAGGAGCTTCACACACACCTAACTTATTATAAAACAGGCAATTTAACACAGGCATTGTATAGCTTCTTGTTTTCACATTTTGAAGAAAAAGAAAACCTACTGTAAAGCATGAAGGTGGAAACATTATGATTTGGGGCTGCTTTTCTGCAAAGACTGATCCTGTAGTGATGAGAGGGAATGACTATGGAACGTGGCTGGGTCTCTCATCATAACAATGCTCCAAAATACACAGATTTCAGATTCAGATTCACTTATTTGCCATTTGCAGTAAAACCACATTGGAAAAACTGTGCAAGACTACCCCAGTGTGCACCAGACGACACACACCAGAGCTCTTGCCACGCCCAGGACTGGCTCTGTAAGAATCATTTGAAGATCCTGGAGTGGCCGAGCTAGTCTCTAGACCAGGTGTCTCCAACCTTTTTCACCAAGAGAGCTACTTTCCCAGGAAAATAAAGAAAGAGAACTACTCCTTTAGAGCTGCAACTAACGATTATTTTGTAATCAATTAATCTATCGAAATTTGTTTACGATTAATCGAGTAATCGCTTGGCTGTGAATTGTGTAGAAAAAAAATTTTTTCATCACAAAAAGCTAAAGTGGCAACACTCGAGGACGTATTGATGGCGTAAACTTAAAGTAAATGTTTGTAACAGGCTCTTTGTGCTAATTCTGCTATCTGATTGGATGAGACAGACAGATATTCATGAAATTATAAAAACAAAGTCGGTTTTAATCAAAAATACTACATTTTCATGTCATTTTTGCTCTGTTTGAGTCCGTGTGAACCAGAAAACGATTAATCGATTACTAAATTAGTTGTTGACTATTTCAATAATCGATTAGTCGTCGATTAATCGATTAGTTGTTTCAGCCCTATACTCCTTTAAGCGGCCCTGGGAAAAATGTGGTGATATATTGGTGAACGAGCCAAATATTACAGTACAGTCATTACTTATCATCACATATTTGTTGCTAGTGACAAAGTAAGTGCATTTACAATAATCATGAATATACAATCTAGGGCTGGGCGATAAAACGATAACGATATATATCGCGATAGACATGTGTTCGATATCAATAGAGAATGGGGTCGATAGAATGTTCGATAGTTTAACTTAACTCCGTCAGGAAAAACAGGAAGAAAACACCGGAAGTAAAGCCGACTCATAAGCGCATGGCATTGTGGGGGATGTAGGCAGAGGCTTCTCGACCAATAACAGCCGAGCAGGAACCGCAAAACTTTGTGGGAAATGCAAAAACAACAACAACCGCAGCATGCGTGGCGTCCATGGATCTATAGCTCGTGTTTCAATGCCGTGTCAATGGTTATGCACGTACGTGCGCGGAATAACATGTGCGGCGGCAGAGGCAGTGGACAGACCCGATGTATTCGGCGAAAGCAAGAGATTAACTTTTTCCTCGGGAAGCATGTGCGGCACAGAGAGCCGCACGGAGCGGCCACGGGGACACAAGACCCTCAAACAGCTAAACCAGGAGCTAAACCAGGAATAAAAAAACAGGATTAAACCAGGACTAACAACGAGGGACACAGTGTGAACATATTCCTCCAACCTCATCGCCCCGTGACTGTAAACAAGGCTGCTAAGGTTGGTTAGCCCACACGACAAATATATTTATTTAGGTTAAAAAAAAACCTCAATATATATCGTTATCGACCGATATGAATGACTTATATCGTGATATAGTTTTCAGCCATATCGCCCAGCCCTAATACAATCTGAATTATATTAAGTGTATCACTTGATTTGTTCATTTAAAATCCTTTGGCGAGCTACCTGGAAGGGGGTAGGGAGCTACTGGTGGCTCCCAAGCTACAGGTTGGAGACCCCTGCTCTAGACCGTGCCTCAATAGAAAATCTGTGGAGGGCATTGAAAGTCTGTGTTGCCCAGAGACAGCCTCAAAACATCACAGAGAGAAGATTTGCATGGAAGAATAAGCCAAAATACAAAAGTGTGTGGGAACGTACAACATATGTTGGACTTCATCACATTACAAAGTTTTGAGTATTGTTATTGGTCAAATACCAAAGTGTACCAACATCTTGAGGTTGGGATTTGAATAATATCCTCTGTTGCAGAGGATATCCCTGTATTTGATTTCTTGGATTTTCCATTCGCTTTCTGTCACTCACAGTTGAAACGCCATGATGAAAATGAAGAACTCTTTTTTTTTTTTTTTTTTTTTAAGGGGGGAAACTTGCTCAATCACAACTGCCAAATGCTTCTCTTTCCACAGTGCATAGAGAAAATCTGGATGGCGTGAGTGAGTGAGCATCAGAGCGAGCACACGTGTCCTCACCAGGCTGTTGAAGCAGTGGTCCATGAAGAGCAGCAGCACCGTCTGCTCCCTCAGGCTCAGTTTGGACTTGTCTCCCTGCAACACGGCCTCCATCACACTGCGGAAGAACCAGGGGAAGTGCTCGGGCTTCTTCTTGAACACCTGCGCGCACACATATTTCACGTATAAGAAGTAGCACTATGTGACCTTTTGATTACAAAACATAAACACTTTGCTCTGAAAGGTTCTGCAAGATAGAGAACTACTAAAAACAATACCAAAAACATATAAATGAGGAAAAATGTTAGTGGGAAGCCAGGTTTTTACTTGGAGGAAACCTATGCAAACACGGGGAGAACATGCAAACTTCACAAACACACAAAAAAAAGTAATAAAAAACACCATGTGACTGTGCAACCCCTGTGCATTAGGAGGTCGCCTGCATGTCTCCTCGCTGCCGCTTGAATGAGTTTTCTCCGTGATTGAGCCAAGTAGAAGTTTCAGACTGAGTGTATTTACCATGTGCAGTAAAACCACATGGTTCTGTTTCCTCTTCTTTATGCTTGAGTCGCATGTAGGTTTCAAAGCTCACCTGAATTTCTCCTATGGGGATCAATAAAGTATCTATCTTGTTGGAAATCTATTGAGAAACTAGTTTAAAGAATTTTATTACATTGCTTAATTTTCCGGTGGTCTTGGAAGATAGATAACAGAGCTTTAGGATTTGATGAGGTTGTGGGAGCGCCCTCTACTGGCCCGCTTACCTCCCAGGCAGGCACGTTCTCCCTGAACTTCTCGTTGATGATACAGCAGATGGACATGATGAAGGCGTTGGAGGACACGTCCGGAGAGTAGTTAACCCACAGGTAGTTCTCCAGGTACTGGCTGAGAACATATGACACACACACACACACACACACACACAGTTAGAGCCAGGACTTCACGCTACACTCAAAGGAACCAGAGAAAACTCACCTGAACTCCAGTAACATGATCTTCCTGATGGCAAATCTGAAATCAAATACAGCAGGTTGACATGAGATTAAACTCAGAGGATCGTTAAAACGTAATTTACTTTAATTTGACTTTCAAAGTAAATCTAATATGATATAGAAGATCCAACATTTTTAGTTGATTAATCGCATGGTAGTAGTGAGTTAGCTCACAATTAATTGCATTTTTAACATTCTATTTCAAATCCACTCCAATTGAAGTTAAATAAGATTATCAAATGTAATGACACATTGTCATTCATACCAAATGTACTTGAATCTGGTTGCTTCACACACAACCTTTTACTTTTGGGCACAACCAACGTGAGCTGTTAACGAAAGTGAAAATGTATGTACCCATGCTTTAATTTAGCAAGTTTAGTTGCGTTTCAGGAGAAGACAGGAGGAGACACTTTTTTGAGGCTCCATAGTTCAGCTTCAGTATATGTGTATATATTGCTGCACAGTTATGCACAGGTTACGCAAAGACATGCACAAAACATGCAGAGAATAGTTCAGTGCGTGTATGGTCTTGGATATGACCACGTTTTCGCGGCGCCATTCGCCGTGTTGTTAATAGCCGTCATAGCAAACAGCAGCAATTGCCCCCCGGTCAGGCGCATATTCTTTTAAAACTTGAATTCCCAGGGGGCCTACCTGCTCTGTTGCCACCTCACACACACACACGTGTCCGCGGCATTCTGAGTGATATTATGGGATACATGGGCGGGTCATTCTGACATGCGTCAATGCGTTATTTTTTTAACGAGATTAAGGAAAAATGCAATTAACGTGCGTTAACGCGATAATTTTGACAGCCCTAGTTTTGATCATATATTGAATAGGTTAATTTATAGAAATAATTGAACTTTCAAGCGATAATGTTTGTGGCTAACAGCAACGTAATGAGGCCATCGTTGAATATTTTAATAGAGAATCAAATGTGTCGATATTATTTTCTTATTTCTACGTTATGTATGTGGACAACTGATACAAATATAAGGCTGAACACTGATTAATTCATAGTTAGTGTAGAAAAATATGTATAAGTTTACAATAGGTACAAGAAAAGTGTCATTTGACAATAGAAATTTCCTAAACTATTTTTTAAAAGTTGAAAATGGCTTTAAACAGGAGACAATATTGTACAGATTTGTCAGAGCACCTGTAGCTTGAGACAGGAGCATTCAGAGAGAAGGGGCGGGGGACGTGTTTGTGCCAGATGTTCCTCATATTAGCATGAAAAGATTATTATTGATTTTTTCCTCGTATGTCTTTAAAGACTCTGGAGCAGGGGTGGCCAACCAGTCAGAGACTAAGAGCCAATTTTTTTTACCGTGTTAAGCAAAGAGCCACATCATACAAATGTGCACTACATAAACATCACCCCAACCCTTACACACGCACACGAACAGACACGCTCTCTCACACAAACACACACACACAAACACACACACACACGCACGCTCACGCACACGAGCAGACACGCGCACACACACACACACGCTCACACACACACACACACGCTCACACACACACACACACACACACACACACAACACATGCAATCTGTCTGAGCAGAGAGAGGTGTGCTCTGCTCAGACAGATTTATTGTAAATGTCATCAACATGATAATGACAGAAATTGACTCGTACAGCACTAAAGGGCTGGACTCGACTCTCCCCGGTTTGCGGGCGCTTCTACCGCTCGCTTCAGCCTCTCCCCGGTACTTTTTATTATGGTTTGGCCCTGGTTCTAACCGGGCGAGTCGATACCAGAACAATCTCACGTCAGCGAACATCAATTATGATTCCGAAATGAACGCTTTCAATCTCTAACCAAGAAAAAAAATCAAGTTTCAACCCAGTGTTCAGCAGAAACACAACTGTCTTTATTGAACCATGATTCACTCTGACTGCGTTTAGTAAAAGATATAGATTTGACACATAACACCAACACCACTTTAGCTGATTTAGAACCAGACACATGTTCAGTATAAGACCAGATACTTTTGCATTTGATTGAAGACAGACACTCACCAGGCAGGCTTATCTCCTGGTGTAGCTGGTGTTAGCTGGTGTTAGCCGGTGTTAGCCGATGTCCGTAAATTTAATCCATTTGGTCAAACCACCTCCAGACTTTTCGGGTCTGCCTCTACTTCTGCTGCTGTAATCTTTCATTTCACGGTTGTCACTTTTAAGCTTTTTAACTTTTCTCTGCATTGTCATGTTTGTGGGAATCATTCTGCTCCGTCCTTAGCGCTAGCTCCACAAACACCTTCTGGTTTCTGGTGGAACCATCGAGCTCACGCTGGTGTCCTCTCCTCAAACTGAGGAAGGTGTTGCCCTCATCCAGCGACCAAGGAGCTGTTTTCCGTACGGACGTCATGGGTCGAGGCAACGTGTTGTTTGTTATGATATTTGCAACAACTGAGGCAGCGGCTGCAGAGTGATTGACAGCGCATCTGGCCAATCAGAATTGACGTTCGCCGACGTCAGATTGTTTTGGTGGCCTGGCTAGTGGAGTGAAGTCGGCCTTTACTATGGGTCAGAACTACATAGGGAATGAATGGCAGCACCACCACCGAGGCGTTTTTGACGCTTGTCATGTGAAAGCCCGAGAGCCGCACGGAACAAGCCAAAGAGCCGCATGCGGCTCACGAGCCGCGGGTTGGCCACCCCTGCTCTGGAGCGTCCATGTAGGTGACCACAACCTCATTTCCAAAGTACATGATTTGATTTGCCTCATTCCACTGTAATCTGGACCTGTGCGCTGTTCTCACCTGGACTCCAGAATCTCCACTGCATAAATCTCTCTGACCACCTGCAGCCAACACACACACACACACACACCATTAGAAACGTCATGTTGCTGTTTCACAAAGTGAAGATGAAGTCTTACTTTTGCATCAAAGGGCAGTTTGTTCTGGGCCTTGGGAGCCCAGTACTTATTGGCCAGCTGAAACAAGACAGACATACGAGATGATGAACAGCTGCTCAACAGACAAGACAGATGTTGCAGAAGTGTTGTAAAAGAAACGGTTGTTGCTTACGACAGTGTTGGTAATGTAATTATAATACATTATACTAGTACTCTAGTTACAAAATGTTTTTTTAACTATTGTGTTTCTTCTGTGTTGTTCATTGAAAGAGTAATTCAAGAATGTACATGTGCAGTCCAGTTCCACAACAGACAATGGAAATGATATATTCATAATAAATTACTAAAACCTCATAAAGTTATTCAAATGTTGTCGAGTTACAACCACAAAGATTTTACTTTCATGTGAAAGACCACCAAAGTTAAAGCAAAATAACAGCTCAAGCTCACAATTAGGGGTGTGACAATATATTGATTTTTCGATATATCGCGATACTTTCTCCCGCGATTCGATTATCGATATGCATTTGCCAAGTATCAATATCGATTTAGAATACTTTTTATTACATTTAAAAAACATTTTTTTTATCAATATATGGCTACATTATGCATCTCCATTTCATTTTTCATGAAATAAAGTGTATTTTTTCTTTTATTTATGCCATAAATTGGCATAAATTGTATATTTCTGACCAATATATCGATAATCGTTATCGTGATAATATCGTTATCGTGAGCTTTGTATCGTGTATCGTATCGTACCCTTAGGTTCCCACCCCTAATCACAATACTTGGGGCCATTCCTCATGAATGTGTTGTTCATAACCATTCTATGGACCATCCACCAAACATTCCATTCTTGTATGGAAAGTAGGAGTGTCAATTTTCGACGCATTAATATGTCAATAGCGTCTTTCACTATTTTCATGTTTCCAGATGTCTAGTATATCTAATATGTATGGGGAATAGCTTTAGAGCATATTTTATCGAGCAACCAGCGCTTCCTCTGGATGTTTTGAAAACAGGATGCACTTTTTGCGCCTCTTTTTCTCATCTTTTTGTCTGAGACTGGTGATTTCAGTAAAACTTGTCTGTAAAATGCACTTGAATTTCTGTAAAATGTTCATATTGATTATATTGACTTATTTTGTTATATAAAAAAGTCCACATTTTTCTAAAATGTGCAGGTCAAAAGGAATTTTTGCTTGTTCACTTTAATGTTACACATGACACTTTATCCATTTATTGTGAAACAAAGTGTATTTTTTCACATCATATTTTTATTCTATTTATGGCATAAATTATCGTAGGTATATTTCCGACCAATATATCGATAATTGCTGCTTCGTCACATCGTGAGATAATCGTTATCGTGAGCTTTGTATCGCACATCGTATCGTATCGTGAGGTACCCTGAGGTTCCCACCCCTAATGGAAAGTCTTCAGGTCCACAGAAATGGACCTGATAATGAAGGTACATTACCACTGGAGCCTCAGCAGCTTTTCTTCCAAGATTGTCCTGTATTTTGTAATATGTAAATGTATTATGTACAGGTATATGTGCAGGACATGTGAGCACATGTGAGTATGTTCTATGCGTGTATGAACTACATATATATGAGTATGTGAGCACCTGTGTAACATATTCAGCATTGATCTGCGCCACAGAAGGAGCTGCAGCCTTCTTCGCTGGCGTCTCCATCTTCTCTGTGACGATGGACATCTTAGGCACCGCGCAGGTCACTGCACACAAAATAAGACTTGATAAGGACATTTCCAATAGAGGTGAAGTCTGCACTGAATACAATAACTAATATAAGTTTATGAAACATGTTTTATTTTGTGGATTATAATTAGAAGATTCTAAATTACAGTAAGTATTCAAATAAGTCCATGATATTCTAAGCCAGTGGTCTGTATTTAAGGCTGCAAGAATACTCCCATTCAAAATGTTATTGTAGTAATGAAATCTTATCTTGAGTTTTCGTTAGTTCGAAACAACTTTGACTTAGACAAAGTTGATTAATAATAATAAGGGGAATGACTTGGCTCAATGTTGCTCACACATTTTTAAATATCTTATTTCATAAAACTACAAAGATATACACTTTTATGAGATACTTTACATGGAAGATCTCCCCAAATACTCTTAATAGTGTGTCCAAGCCACCTCAACTGCAGCAAAGTCAGTAACAGTCAGTAACAGTCAGTAACAGTCAGTAACAGTCAGTAACAGTCAGATACAGTCAGTAACAGTCAGTAACAGTCAGTAACAGTCAGTAACAGTCAGTAACAGTCAGTAACAGTCAGATACAGTCAGTAACAGTCAGTAACAGTCAGATACAGTCAGTAACAGTCAGTAACAGTCAGTAACAGTCAGTAACAGTCAGTAACAGTCAGTAACAGTCAGATACAGTCAGTAACAGTCAGTAACAGTCAGTAACAGTCAGTAACAGTCAGTAACAGTCAGTAACAGTCAGATACAGTCAGTAACAGTCAGTAACAGTCAGATACAGTCAGTAACAGTCAGTAACAGTCAGTAACAGTCAGTAACAGTCAGTAACAGTCAGTAACAGTCAGATACAGTCAGTAACAGTCAGTAACAGTCAGTAACAGTCAGTAACAGTCAGTAACAGTCAGTAACAGTCAGTAACAGTCAGATACAGTCAGTAACAGTCAGTAACAGTCAGTAACAGTCAGTAACAGTCAGTAACAGTCAGTAACAGTCAGTAACAGTCAGTAACAGTCAGATACAGTCAGTAACAGTCAGTAACAGTCAGTAACAGTCAGTAACAGTCAGTAACAGTCAGTAACAGTCAGTAACAGTCAGATACAGTCAGTAACAGTCAGTAACAGTCAGATACAGTCAGTAACAGTCAGTAACAGTCAGTAACAGTCAGTAACAGTCAGTAACAGTCAGTAACAGTCAGTAACAGTCAGATACAGTCAGTAACAGTCAGTAACAGTCAGTAACAGTCAGTAACAGTCAGTAACAGTCAGTAACAGTCAGATACAGTCAGTAACAGTCAGTAACAGTCAGATACAGTCAGATACAGTCAGTAACAGTCAGTAACAGTCAGTAACAGTCAGATACAGTCAGTAACAGTCAGTAACAGTCAGTAACAGTCAGATACAGTCAGATACAGTCAGTAACAGTCAGTAACAGTCAGTAACAGTCAGTAACAGTCAGATACAGTCAGTAACAGTCAGTAACAGTCAGTAACAGTCAGTAACAGTCAGTAACAGTCAGTAACAGTCAGTAACAGTCAGTAACAGTCAGTAACAGTCAGTAACAGTCAGTAACAGTCAGTAACAGTCAGTAACAGTCAGTAACAGTCAGTAACAGTCAGTAACAGTCAGTAACAGTCAGTAACAGTCAGTAACAGTCAGTAACAGTCAGATACAGTCAGTAACAGTCAGTAACAGTCAGTAACAGTCAGTAACAGTCAGTAACAGTCAGTAACAGTCAGTAACAGTCAGTAACAGTCAGTAACAGTCAGTAACAGTCAGTAACAGTCAGATACAGTCAGTAACAGTCAGTAACAGTCAGATACAGTCAGATACAGTCAGATACAGTCAGTAACAGTCAGATACAGTCAGTAACAGTCAGTAACAGTCAGTAACAGTCAGTAACAGTCAGTAACAGTCAGTAACAGTCAGATACAGTCAGTAACAGTCAGTAACAGTCAGATACAGTCAGTAACAGTCAGTAACAGTCAGTAACAGTCAGTAACAGTCAGTAACAGTCAGTAACAGTCAGTAACAGTCAGTAACAGTCAGTAACAGTCAGTAACAGTCAGTAACAGTCAGTAACAGTCAGTAACAGTCAGTAACAGTCAGTACAGTCAGTAACAGTCAGTAACAGTCAGTAACAGTCAGTAACAGTCAGTAACAGTCAGTAACAGTCAGATACAGTCAGTAACAGTCAGTAACAGTCAGATACAGTCAGATACAGTCAGATACAGTCAGTAACAGTCAGATACAGTCAGTAACAGTCAGTAACAGTCAGTAACAGTCAGTAACAGTCAGTAACAGTCAGTAACAGTCAGTAACAGTCAGTAACAGTCAGTAACAGTCAGTAACAGTCAGTAACAGTCAGTAACAGTCAGTAACAGTCAGTAACAGTCAGTAACAGTCAGTAACAGTCAGTAACAGTCAGTAACAGTCAGTAACAGTCAGTAACAGTCAGATACAGTCAGTAACAGTCAGTAACAGTCAGTAACAGTCAGTAACAGTCAGTAACAGTCAGTAACAGTCAGTAACAGTCAGTAACAGTCAGTAACAGTCAGTAACAGTCAGTAACAGTCAGTAACAGTCAGTAACAGTCAGATACAGTCAGATACAGTCAGATACAGTCAGATACAGTCAGTAACAGTCAGATACAGTCAGTAACAGTCAGTAACAGTCAGTAACAGTCAGATACAGTCAGTAACAGTCAGTAACAGTCAGTAACAGTCAGTAACAGTCAGATACAGTCAGTAACAGTCAGTAACAGTCAGTAACAGTCAGTAACAGTCAGTAACAGTCAGTAACAGTCAGTAACAGTCAGTAACAGTCAGTAACAGTCAGTAACAGTCAGTAACAGTCAGATACAGTCAGTAACAGTCAGTAACAGTCAGTAACAGTCAGATACAGTCAGATACAGTCAGATACAGTCAGATACAGTCAGTAACAGTCAGATACAGTCAGTAACAGTCAGTAACAGTCAGTAACAGTCAGTAACAGTCAGTAACAGTCAGATACAGTCAGTAACAGTCAGTAACAGTCAGATACAGTCAGATACAGTCAGATACAGTCAGATACAGTCAGATACAGTCAGTAACAGTCAGATACAGTCAGTAACAGTCAGTAACAGTCAGTAACAGTCAGTAACAGTCAGTAACAGTCAGTAACAGTCAGTAACAGTCAGTAACAGTCAGATACAGTCAGTAACAGTCAGTAACAGTCAGTAACAGTCAGTAACAGTCAGATACAGTCAGTAACAGTCAGTAACAGTCAGTAACAGTCAGTAACAGTCAGTAACAGTCAGTAACAGTCAGTAACAGTCAGTAACAGTCAGTAACAGTCAGTAACAGTCAGATACAGTCAGTAACAGTCAGTAACAGTCAGTAACAGTCAGTAACAGTCAGTAACAGTCAGTAACAGTCAGATACAGTCAGTAACAGTCAGTAACAGTCAGTAACAGTCAACAGTCAGTAACAGTCAGTAACAGTCAGTAACAGTCAGATACAGTCAGTAACAGTCAGTAACAGTCAGTAACAGTCAGTAACAGTCAGTAACAGTCAGTAACAGTCAGTAACAGTCAGTAACAGTCAGTAACAGTCAGATACAGTCAGTAACAGTCAGTAACAGTCAGTAACAGTCAGTAACAGTCAGTAACAGTCAGTAACAGTCAGTAACAGTCAGATACAGTCAGTAACAGTCAGTAACAGTCAGTAACAGTCAGTAACAGTCAGTAACAGTCAGTAACAGTCAGTAACAGTCAGTAACAGTCAGATACAGTCAGTAACAGTCAGATACAGTCAGTAACAGTCAGATACAGTCAGTAACAGTCAGTAACAGTCAGATACAGTCAGTAACAGTCAGATACAGTCAGTAACAGTCAGATACAGTCAGTAACAGTCAGTAACAGTCAGTAACAGTCAGTAACAGTCAGTAACAGTCAGTAACAGTCAGATACAGTCAGTAACAGTCAGTAACAGTCAGTAACAGTCAGTAACAGTCAGTAACAGTCAGTAACAGTCAGTAACAGTCAGTAACAGTCAGTAACAGTCAGTAACAGTCAGTAACAGTCAGATACAGTCAGTAACAGTCAGATACAGTCAGTAACAGTCAGTAACAGTCAGATACAGTCAGTAACAGTCAGATACAGTCAGTAACAGTCAGTAACAGTCAGATACAGTCAGTAACAGTCAGTAACAGTCAGATACAGTCAGTAACAGTCAGATACAGTCAGTAACAGTCAGTAACAGTCAGATACAGTCAGTAACAGTCAGATACAGTCAGTAACAGTCAGTAACAGTCAGATACAGTCAGTAACAGTCAGATACAGTCAGTAACAGTCAGATACAGTCAGTAACAGTCAGTAACAGTCAGTAACAGTCAGATACAGTCAGTAACAGTCAGTAACAGTCAGTAACAGTCAGTAACAGTCAGTAACAGTCAGATACAGTCAGTAACAGTCAGATACAGTCAGTAACAGTCAGTAACAGTCAGATACAGTCAGTAACAGTCAGATACAGTCAGTAACAGTCAGATACAGTCAGTAACAGTCAGTAACAGTCAGATACAGTCAGTAACAGTCAGATACAGTCAGTAACAGTCAGTAACAGTCAGTAACAGTCAGTAACAGTCAGTAACAGTCAGTAACAGTCAGTAACAGTCAGATACAGTCAGTAACAGTCAGTAACAGTCAGTAACAGTCAGTAACAGTCAGTAACAGTCAGTAACAGTCAGTAACAGTCAGTAACAGTCAGTAACAGTCAGTAACAGTCAGATACAGTCAGTAACAGTCAGTAACAGTCAGTAACAGTCAGTAACAGTCAGTAACAGTCAGTAACAGTCAGTAACAGTCAGTAACAGTCAGATACAGTCAGTAACAGTCAGTAACAGTCAGTAACAGTCAGTAACAGTCAGTAACAGTCAGTAACAGTCAGATACAGTCAGTAACAGTCAGTAACAGTCAGATACAGTCAGATACAGTCAGATACAGTCAGACACAGCGACATCACTGCACACGCTGCAGCAGCTCATTTGTCAACCTCACGCTCCATCCTTTCCTCAGATAACCCTGAGATACTTAGGGACCTCTACACCACCTGGACAGGACTTCTTTATTGTTGGCAATCAACAGAGATGAATGACATATTACACATTCATTGAGTATCAACAACAACCGTTTTCACGGTAACAAAGAGAATAGACGGCTCCAATGTGCTGCCTCGTTTTAGCGCCTAAAGTGTTAATAAAAAATATATATAATTGGCTGAATGTAATTATTCTTACATTGTATTAAAATTAACAATTCAATTCGACTCTCAGTTCTCATTTCAAAATTAGCAGAGAACAGCTACATTATTATCAATATTGCAAACTATTCATATCCTGTGAATTTTTCCGGTTTGATATATCACGTGTAGAATCCCGATGTCTGAATAGTGAATATGAATAAACCATGTGGTCAAATACAAATAAATACAAGTGTTTCCGTCATAATAAACTTTGGAAACAAGAACACACGGAGAATGTGCAGGACTTTGTGGAATACGCCAAGGTTTTAAGGACAATGAGATGGTTTAAATAACTTGTGTGAGCGAAGGCAAAGAGAAGCGTGTGTACAGTATTTCATTGGACTAAACGAACCTTAAAAAGAGCAGTTTGTGTTCGGCATGAAGAAAAGCGTGAGCTCAGAACGCGCTGTTAGCGAACTACTTCCTGCTTTGGTCCGTCACGAATCCTGTCCGGGAAAACTGATTACGCGATGAGCAAAGGTTCCGACTGTGACGTTGCTTCAAAAGAATACCAACTCCACAATTTCAACGATTTTATTTATGAATTATTTTATAATTATTGGTGTTTTTACTGCTCAAAACCACAAAGAAAAAAAGAAAATAAACGCAAATTGTCAACGAAAAGGGTAGTGCCTCCGTGTTATCCTAGAAGTCCTGAGATGGTATGTGTTGTTATGATACAGTTGATAATGATCTCAATCCAGAGTATTAGAAATTAATAAATAATCATATTTTGGACGCTAGATTAAGTCAGGTGCCTAACATTAACCACTGCAATATTTGCATTGTCCGTAAGAGGGAGGCACACACCATGGGATGGCGTCATAGCACCGGGGAAGAGAGGAGATAGGTACATATCATTACTGATCACCCTTTACACCTTCTTTCTTCGTTCAATACATGGTTTTGTGTGTCTGTTGTAATCTGCTATATATAAACACATTGTACATTTAGATCACATTTGATTGCTTGTTTTTCAAAATATTGTATTTGACTGATGCCACTGAAGTTTGTGGAATGATTATGCAATGAAAATACAAAAAACCACCATATAGTCACACATTTGCAGATTGTTGATTTGTTGAAAAATCAATTTGAGGATAATGTTCACTTTTTTGTCCCAGTATAAGGAAATGTGTCCTCTGCATTTGACCCATCCTTCAAATCCACGTGCCTGAACAAAACTGACTGAAAGTGAAGGAGGGTAGATTTATTACAATTTGATTTCTAAATTAAATAGTATCTTGTCAGATGATGTATGTATATGCTCATTCATTCTACAATCTACTATAACATCAACCTGCTCAGGGACGACATATGTAACCCTTTCCTTTTGGAACATGTTTACACGGTCTCTGTAATAATACAAATGATACCATACCATTCTCTGCTCTCCTGCCACCACACACACTTCAATATAACTTCTCACATTTTTGTTTAAGACACAAAATGGGGAATACTGGACTAGATGAGTTGATTACAGGTAATACACTTCAAACATGTCATTACCACCACAATGTCATAAACACATCAACTAAAGCAGACATATTATCTATGTGTTGTGTCCAATAGGCACTTAAACATGATCTTTCTTTTGTACAATTATGTACAAGATAAAAAAAATAAGATGTGGACCCTAGACTGGTATTGGTCTGATTTGTTCATTTTTTACTGACAAAATACAAGACTGTTTCTGTCGGGACAAACAAAGTGGATTATTTTACATATATTTATTTATTTTATTATTTTACACTATTAGGTCCCCAATATGCTTTAATATGTCATAATTTCTAATGAAAAACATACCTGAAGACGAAGCAACACTCCCATCTAGTGGTAGAAAAGAGGCATTTAATATCTGTAGTAAAAGTCAAATGAATGGAGGAATTCACTAAACTGATTTGGAGGTGTTATTTCATTTTTAACGGCTCTGAACATGACACGTGTACACGAGATTCAACATTTAGACAGAATGGGACTACACACACATGCAGGGCTATTTAAGTAGGCACAGTTTATTAACACCTTTCACAGACCGGGGTCACAGGGCCCATTAGAAAAAACCATATGAGGTGGAACAATCTTTTGTGTCACATGTGTTCTCAAAACCTTATTCACTTTTTTTGTATTATCCCAGACAAAATAAATCTTCTAACACTTTAGACTTATTTTTTTCCAATTTCCACAGCACCAATCCAAACTACGGCAGATCAATACCCCTCTTGTCTTAAGTGCAGAAGTGTAATTGCACGTACAGTCAGCCATCAGAAAGACCTCCTCATGTGGATTGTTTTTCCTTCAGCAGCATTAACCCTGGGCGTCTGGATCAATCGTAGTCATTATACACTATAATAGCAGTGCAGGGGCCCTGCGGAGGCCCCTGGTTTCAAAAGAGAAGTGCAGAGCAATGTATAGACAAAAACAGTGAGAGAATTCAAAAGGAGAGCTGTAAAATTGTTGTGACTACAGAGCAAGTCTGCCTATAGAAGCAATAGTTCACATAAGCTGTTAGTGTCATCTGGGAAAAATATATCAATATTCATTTTTTAAATAGAATTATGGAGAAAATTCATTATAACAGTTTTGTAGTTTGTTTGAGATGGTCAGATGTGAGTTTAAGCAATACCACAGCAAAACCTAGAATTGTGTTTATGAAACTTAGCCTCTGTCATGTCTTCAAATGAAAAGTGTGTGAAAAAAAATGAGGAATTCTGTAGACCAATCAACCCTCTTTACATGTTTGATGTCAGTGGAACACAATCAGATTCCTGTTCCCCTGGTTTTAATGATAGAATTCTTATACATAAATGTGTAAGTAATGGTATAAAAAAGGCACATTTCTTTGGAGACATGTTTGATGACCGGGCCCTTCATTCATTTCAGGACCGCTGCATCCAGTTCAACATCTTTTGTATCTTACTTGCAATTCTATTTGGAGCTTGATTGTACTATAGGCAATGCATGTTTATTTGTATAGCACAATTCATACACAAGGCAACTCAAAGTGCTTCACAAAACAAGAAAATAGGGTTTTTGTTTTGTGAAAAGGTAAAAAAAAACAGAACGGATTGAAAAGAGTCAAGATACAATCCTCCAATGTGCACAGATAAACGTAACTGTTTTAAAATGGATTTGAACATTGCCCTAACAAAAGTCTGTCTCACATTATCAGGAATACTGAAAATGATACAATTTCCAGATTTTAGCTGTATAAATACTGCCACTCCATGTTTAGTCCTGAATCAGCACCAGTCAGTTGGTTCATATGGTCCAACTTTGGTGTGAGTCCATGGAGAGAATTGCTTCAAAGTCTATTCTCTGAGCCACAGGAAGCCAGTGCAGGGACCTGAGGACTGGACTAATATGGTCGTACTTCCTGGTTCTAGTCAGGACTCGAGCTGCTGCATTTTGAATGTACTGCAGCTGTTTTACAGCCTGTTTGGACAGACCTGTGAGCAGGCCATTGCAGTAGTCTAACCTAATGGAGACAAATGCTGGATAAGAATCTCCAAGTCTGCTTTACACACAGTGTTTTTTTATTCTTGCAATGTTTTTTCGATGGTAAAAAGCTACTGATGTTACTGATTTAATGTGGCTGTTTAAATTGAAGTCCGAGTCCATTATTACCCCAAGATTTCTGACTTGATTTGAAGGTTTTAGGGAGAGACTGGAGGTGGCAGATGTGACTCTCTCTCTCTCTGTCAATGTTTCTGGGGACCAAAGACAATCTTTTCCGTTTTGTCTGACTTTTGCCGGAGAAAGTTGTTTTGCATTCACTGATCCGTTGGAGTTTGTTCCCCTTTATAATCAAGAGTCATTTGATTGAGTCTCATTTGTTTGTGCACCAACAGGTTCTCAAGAGGTCCCTGGACTTGTGGGTGTGTTTGTTGTTTGTTTGTGTTATGTGAAAGAATAAAAAAAAGCGATATACAAAATCCTGATTTATTTAGACATACAAAATTGTAATAATTGCATAAACATGATTCAATATTAAAAATCAGTGAGATCTTTAAGAGGTGAGCCAGCAGGACAGCAGCAGGAGCCGGGCCTCGCTCAGCTCCAGCACTGGGACAGCAGACAGAGCAGGTGCAGACTGACCCAAACAAGCGGACCATGTGTCTGCTAGTCCTGGAGAACACAAGTAAGTCATTAAGAACACTGTTGAAGTAACCAAGAGAAAAGCATAGATACAGTAGACGAACAAATGGTAATGGAGGTGACACAACCATCGACTTTTGAGACATTTAGTCGCAACCCAGGATGTAAATGAACTAAAGCTGTGTTTAGGTGTTTGATAGAAATCCTTGTAAGTACAGTATGTATTGTGATTGTGTGATTCCAGAAACTTTTAACTGAGAGAACTGGTGTGTCTAAAGCTGGGGTACCTTTCAAAACGCAAAATAAGGAGCTACGTAAAATAAAATCCTAGTTCCTCACTCCCAAAACAGCTTTTACTGGCAGAAAAGTGAAAAAGAGAGGACTAACAAGGACTAACAAGTCAAATAGGGACTAACAAGGGCTTTCTGTAAACAAACTTATGTATTTTTTATAGGGGAGAAAGTTAGGTTCCATAGCTCCACGTTTGACAGCTGTAAAGAACAGTGGATTAACTCTGAAAAGAATAAGTTTGTATGTTGGTATTTGGACAAAGCTATATATTGCCTTCATATGTACTAACTTTGGGGGCGACAGTGCCAGAGCCTTGGCCTGGGAGCCTGAGGGTCGTGGGTTCGTGTCCCATCATGAGACCCTCACCACCGACTCCCACTGATGACTGCTGTTGTTGTGTCCTTGGGCAAGACACTTAACCCAACTTTGCCTGAAGCCCCCGCTGAAAGATCAAGGCTGCTGTGGACTCACCACCTGGAGGAGGATCAGTGATGGGCTGGTGCTCTGTGAACTGGGTGGCATCTCTGGCCACCCCCCCGACCCAGAAATGGATTAAGGGGTAGGAAATGGATGGATGGATGTACTAACTTTTATGGATATTAATCAACATTTATGGACTCTGCGCCCTATGGACCAATACCAATGTGTTTGATTCTCTGATCTTTGTTGGCAAATTCAACAATTGTGTAAAGCCCTCCGAGATAACTATTTTTTATTTATTTATTTATTTTTTTATTTATTGTGTTTATTTGAACATCGAATAAATGTATAAGAAAGAAAAAAAACAGTAAGAACAAAACAAAGAAAATAAAGAAAACTTATTCACGTTCAAAAGGAGTAGGAAGAAGCCAAGCTTATTTAATCCTACCCCTCTTCCCTATGTCAATTCAATATATTGAATATTGAAGCAAAATATACTAATCTATATACACATACATGCATATACATACATGCATACATACATGTATCCATACATACACACATATACATACATATATATATAATTACAGTTAATTAAAAAAATATTAACTTAAATGAACAGTAACAATAATTGCACCGTGTATCACCTAGTGTCTTTTTGTACCCCAGATTCATCCCTGTATCTATTCAAAACATGCTCTTTATATTTTACTTTGAACTCCTTTATATTTAGACATTGTTTCAATTCTTCACACAACCTGTTCCATATTTGTACTCCACTGAATGAAATACAAAATCTCTTTTTGTTTGTTCGTATTCTGATGACTTTAAAGTTATTTAACCCCCTTAATTGATAACCCCCCTCTCGACCCGTAAAGATGTTTTGTATATTATATGGTAGTAGCTTATTAGCTGCTTTATACATTATCTGTGCTGTTTTAAATTCAACTATGTCTGTGAGTTTTAATAGTTTTGACTGCAAGAAAAGTGAGTGAGTGTGATCCAAATAGCCTGCGTTATGTATTATCCGAATTGCCCTTTTTTGTAGAATAAGTAATGGTTTTAATGAACTCGTATAATTATTTCCCCAAATCTCTGAACAGTAACTGAAATATGGTAAGACAATAGTACAGTATATGTTGCGAAGTGACTTAGCGTCTAGTACCGGTTTTGCTCTATTTAATATTGCAATGCTTCTTGACAGTTTAGTCTGTATATATTTGATGTGTGGTTTCCAGGTGATTTGATCATCTATTATAATCCCCAGGAACTTGTTTTCATTAACCCTTTCTATTTGCACCCCATCTAACCTTAGTTGTAATTTCTCTTCAGATCGGTTGTTCCCAAATAACATAATCTTTGTTTTGTTAAGATTAAGTGATAATTTATTCCTGTCAAACCATAATTTCACTTTGTTCATTTCATGAGTAACCTCTTTAAGAAGCTCTTTTAAATTGTCCCCAGAACAAAAAATATTAGTGTCATCAGCAAACAACACCAGCTTCAGTTTCTGTGAGACAACACAAACATCATTAATATACAAAATAAACAATTTAGGACCCACTACTGACCCCTGGGGGACGCCACAGGAAATGTCCAACCATGCTGAACAAACATCACCCATCTTCACAAACTGCTGCCTGTTCTTTAAATAACTTGTGACCCAGTTCAACACAATGCCTCTGACTCCATATCTTCCTAGTTTTTTTATCAACAAATCATGGTTGATTGTATCAAAAGCTTTTTTAATATCAATAAATATTCCAACAGCATATTGTTTTTTTTCAAGAGCATTTGTTATATCTTCAATAGCTTCAGTTATCGCTAGTGCTGTTGATCTTTCCGACCTAAACCCATACTGGCTGTCAGAAAGCATTTTATGTTTTGTGATGAATGTATCCAGTCTATTACTAAAAAGTTTTTCTAATATTTTGGAAAATTGTGGGAGTAAGGAGACAGGTCTGTAGTTGTTGAAGTGATGTTTGTTCCCGCCTTTGTACAATGGGATAACCTTGGCTATTTTCATGCTGTTTGGAAAGACACCAGTGTGAAATGACAAGTTACAGATGTGCGTTAGCGGCTTCAGAATTCCCTCAATCACATCTTTCACCAGAGTCATGTCAATGTCATTATAGTCAGTGGATTTCTTGTTGTGACACTTTTTAACAATGTCAAGTATTTCCTTTTCTTCCACTTTATTAAGAAACATTGAGTGGGGATTTCTTTCTATTAACGCATCCATGTTTTTACCAGCTGCCCCAGGATCAGGTATGTTTTTTGACAGGTCAGGCCCCACATTCACAAAAAATGTATTAAATTTATCCGCCACATCACTCGTGTTTTCAAATATATTGTCTTTATCAATAAAGTAATCAGGATACTCATTTCGCTTCGAGCCACTTCTTATAATACTGTTTAATATATCCCACACTCCTTTCATATTGTTTATGTTGTCATCTAATCTTTTCCTGAAATAGTCTTTCTTGTTCATTCGTATAATGTGTGTGTAAATCACAACTACTGTTGTGATTTAGGGCTATACAAGAATAAATTGAATTGAATTGAATGTGCTTCAGTGCAGCATCAGCCTGAGAGTAGAATTGGCCTCGTGCACAGACTAAACATAAGTGGACTTAGTTGAGGGGACTTTCAGCTCAGACGGGCCTGTCCCACTGGGAGCGTGGAGCAGCAGCTGCACTTACAGCGCTGTTATGAGTTATTGGCATTCTTACAAGGCTCTGAAACTCCATCATTCAACATACGCTCCAACCAGAAGATCTGATGTCACCGGGGCGGGAGCTGATGCTGCGTCCACAACGGCCTGGGACAGTGGAACTCAACTCTTCGGACTGTAGACTTTAGAGGTCGGGATTTTGACGTCAGCAACATGAGTAAGAAGACATACAATACAAAATGATTGAGTTTTGAATCTATGTTACAACAATGTTCCTCATCAAAATCAGGGCTGCAATTGATTCCAACTCCATACACGTCAATAGAATTATCTTCTGGCACAAGCTCATACCCCCCTCCCTTCTGTCTAAAAACTCCTGTCTCAAACTTTGTGAGCTACAATGAATCCCAACTAGGGCTGGGCGGTATAAACGGTATAAGCGGTATGCGGTATAAATTTGGCCCACGGTAGAGATTTTTGTTATACCGGCATATTGCGATAGGTCATTATGTCATCAAATTGCGCAGGCTCTGACGCCAGCAGAAAGGACCAAAACAAACCGGCATTCAGCAGCATTAGCCTAGCACATTAGCCTAGCACATTAGCCTAGCAGACACCACTGGAAACAACAGCACGGCTTTCACACCGTGTTTCTGTCTCTGTATTGGTCACAGCGGCCCCAGCGGAGGTAAATACACACACAGCAATCACAGTTTACATGTCTACCTTTCGGCCAATGAGTGTCAAAGGGGCGTAGGCTCGAAGCGCCATCGTGAGCCGAAATAGATCCATGCTTGTGCCGTGTCCGCATCATCTCAGAAGTTTTGTAAAGTTAGCGTCCGATTCAGACTTCCGCGGTCAATAGATCACGAAAGCTACTTTGTTAAACAAAATTAATTGTGCCAAAATGAGCATTTACATCAATTGTTCAAATCAAATGCGCTGTTTTAATGCAGATAAATCCATTGAATCATCCAGTTCACAGCAAGCGCTTAGGGAGCGTCAACAAATGGCAAGACTAGCTTTGTAAACGAACAATAGCATTTACTGAAGCCATGCATACGCACTAAACTCTGACACTATAAATAATGACCATGTCTAACTGCTACAGATATTATATAATATATTTTAATATTATTTAAAATTGCTTTCACAGTTAATGGTCTTTACTGTAACATACATAAATAATGTATGTTACAGCATTTGTCTCTGACCTGATTTTCAAACTCAAAAAATATATATCAGATTCTAATGTATAGATAAGTAACAATCTTGACTATTTTATGCAAGAACCTGCTAAACCTATATTGAAATTCACACACCAAATTATACCGTGATGTATACCGTCTACCGTCTGTGACCCAAATCATACCGCGATATGAATTTTAGGCCATATCGCCCACCCCTAATCCCAACCCTATTATGTTCAGAAAACACAAAAGAATTAGTAAATAAAATCAAACACCTCCAGTTTGACACAGATGAGACAATGGTCTCGTTTGATGTGACATCGCTTTTTGCGTTGGTCCCTATTACAGAGGCGGTGGAGGCTGTAAGAGAAAGCCTACAGAAAGACGCCACACTAGGGGAGAGAACGTAACTAACAGCTGACCACATTTGTGAAATACTTGAAATGTGTCTTAACACCACGTATTTCCAATTTAGAGGCACCTTCTTTAGACAGATTCATGGCTGTGCGATGGGCTCCCCAGTCTCTCCTATAGTGGCCAATCTGTACATGGAGAAACTGGAGGAACAAGCCCTTGTCTCTTACCAAGGGACAGCGCCAAGCCATTGGTTTCGATATGTAGACGATACATGGGTTAAGTTAAAGAAACAGGAAGTGGAACCATTTTCAGAACACATTAATTCGGTGGACCCTTTTATAAATTTCACTCGCGAGGATGCTAAGGAGAGTGAACTCGCCTTTCTAGATTGTAAGGTCATCATACTGGAGAACGGACAATTAGAGACTGAGGTCTTCAGAAAGTCCACTCACACTGACCAGTACTTGGCCTTTGATTCAAATCATCCGCTACAACACAAACTCGGGGTCATTAGAACGCTTCAACACCGAGCCCACCAGGTCCCCACAAGCTCGGAGGGAAAGAACAGAGAAACCAAACATGTTCAGAGAGCACTTTCCAGATGTGGCTACCCCAAGTGGTCTTTTACTAAAGCCCAAAGGACGAGAAAGGCCAGAGACACAGTCCAACAGACAGAAGAAAGTAGGAGGAGAGGGGTGTCCTTACCGTATGTGGCGGGAGTTTCAGAGAAACTACAAAGAATCTTTAGGCAACACAAAATCCCTGTGTATTTCAAACCTTTCAACACGTTAAGACAGAAATTAGTGCATCCCAAAGACAAAACACCCAGACACAAACAGAGCAATGTGGTGTATTCAATTAAATTTAGTGAAGAGGAGTGCACTGACCACTATATTGGAGAAACCAAACAAACTCTACAGAAACGACTTTACCAACATCGTAGAGAAAACTCTAGTGGGCCACAGTCGGCTGTTCATCTCCACCTCAAGGCCTCCAACCACACGGTGGATGACACAGAGGTTAAAATTTTGGCTCGGGAGAAGAATTGGTTTGAGAGAGAAGAAAGAAGCCATTTTTGTGAGGAAACAAAAACGTTCTCTTAAGGGTTAAGATTTGTTTTGCCTCGCATCTATGACGACATCCTAAAAACAACGCCCTAACTTGGGACAAGGTCAGTGACATGCTAATGAGTTAGGGTTGTTAGCCTCAGCAGGGTCGTTAGACCTGCTCCCTTCTACATCAAACAGTCCTTAGATTGTTTATGAGTTAGTATCAGGATTAGGATGTGGCTAACCACACCCATAGGTTATAAATCTCCAACGCGCGGTCTGAGAATTCATTCCCTGAAGAAGTCCTCTAGATTGAGGACGAAACGTTGCTAAGAAGTACAGATGATGGGTGATAAACCTTTCTTTGCTTCGTTCAGAGTTGTTGTCTGCCTTTTTAAACAAAAAGCAATTTCTCCAGTAGAAAATACGTTCTTTAATATCTTTGATGTTGAAAAAGACAAAAAACACTGCACTCTGGTGGTAGAAGTGGGGACTAACATGCAGAGATCGTTGCTTATCCATTCGCCCTCTGCTTGAGAAATTATTTCATATTGATATGAAGAAAAAATCCTCTAACAAGATTAGTGACCCTTGGATTTCTCAAATGCAGATTATACTTAATGTATTCATAAGTGGGAAAAGTAAAGTTAATCAAACAGTCCCCTTCTTGTTCCAGCACTCAGGATAAATGTTAGACCGGCTGATGTTGGTCCGACCATCAGGATGCAAGATGCAGAGTTGATATTTTGCATTTATTGTAGTCCTGACTTGACTAAACAGATCACTGCAGATGCTAGAATAGACTAGTGTTTCTTCCCATCAGTCAGTGTAGCAACATCTGACAGACAAATGGAATCAAATGTCATATTGTTCCTTTGGGTATTTGTATGAAACGCAGATCCGGGTTTCCGTCTGCCTCGTCTGCCCTGTCCATCAATCTCCTCACACTTTTCTCTGGACAATTGACTATAAGCCTTTTTATATGTCACACTGTCACTCCTGTTCTGGACGCGGCCCGTGTGCTGTAAGTAACCTGTGCGGACGCGCTGTTTAGACTCGGGTTTGGAGCATATGTCACGTCTCTCAACTGTGGCGGTGGGGGAGGAGGGGGGTTGTGCTCAGAGCCAGAGGTGCCACTTTTCCTCCTGTGACTTTTAGGCTCCGTGGCCCCGTGAGCTGGGCTGTGACCCGTGATGTGGGCCCGCAGAGGGGAGCTCATGACTCAGTGCTAACGGGGGGAGTGGGCGGTGGAAGGAGAGGAGCAGAGGTTTATGAGTGTCACTCACCTGTATGTGGAGGAAGTTGGGGCGCAAGATGGACAGAGGCCTTATTTATAAACGTGCATGTGGAAATAGAAAGTTCCAACCGCACTTATGTTTTGCTGGGTCGCCGAGGCAGAGGACAATACCAGACCATGAGAACACATCTCTCTCTCTCTCAAAGTGGGCCTTCCTGAGGTTTTTTCTTACACATTTTTGTGCAGGACGGTTGAAGGAAAGTGATGATCAGGGAAATGTATGAACATGTATGAACATTTATGAACACATGACAGGTCATTGGTCATCCAACCACCATGAAACCAAAGGCTTCCATGGGTTTGTTGCATTTCTTTTCCTGTGTTCAAACTGTTTGATTACCTGATTTGTTCTATGTGAATAATTGTAAAAATCCACTGAGGTTCACCTGCTGTGATTAGGCCTGAACACTAATACATTGAACAGAATTGAACCAGACTGAAGGGACTACACTGATGGGAAAAAAAAAAATGTATGCCTCTTCTGTTCAACACTAAAACACTGTTTCTCCAACAACAATGGAATAATAGATGACATCTAGTAGCGGCACGGTAACACATTCTTCTTGCTATGGAGCTGGTAGCAGTTGTTTAATGAAAATATCCCCATTAGCACAGTCATGCCGTCTCTATTCTTCCTTGGGTCCCACTAAATCCATTCACAAGATCTTGTTTTGTTTTACTAAATGTGTATACAATAATGTAGTACATCTAAATGACCCAAATAACATCTGGGACCCTACAGTTTCCCCACCACCGTATGCACCATAGACCAAAGAATCCTCCAGCTCTGGTCCTGACCAAGAGCAACAACTTCTAGAAAAGGGTCCCCACTGCTCCTGAGTGGTCCTCTAGAGACATTGAAGGATGGGTCAAATGCAAAAAACAAATTGCAGTGTGATGCTAACTGCTCATACTGTATGTGCAGTAAAATATATAAACTAACTAACCAACTAGTGGTATCAGTGGTAAATTACATTCTGCTTGATTTAGATTTAGACCTAACTTTAACATGGCACGGTCTAATTGAACATTCAACTCAAGTCATTTTTCCCTAGCTACGTAATCAGAAGCTACTTTTGTTTTTAGAGTTTGTCATTGACATTATAGTCTGAGGATATGCCACTGTGTGAGAGTGGAGCATTCGGACAGAGAAACGTGTGCCAGAACTTCCTGATATCAGCGTGGATGGAGCTACAAACAACCCCAGGTCAGATGATGTAATACGGTTAAGGCCAAAAGCGATTTTGTATAATGTGTTCTTAAATGCTACAACGGGACGGGCTCCAAACTCACCTTCCACTGCCTCCCTCGCCTGCGCCCTGTCCCGCCTGTAGAAGACCCTCGCGCACAGCGGCACCAGCTCAGGCCCCAGCTCCTCCACGGCTCTCCTGAACGTCTCTGTGATGTCTCGTACTGCGCTCGACTGCTCTGCTTCCCTTTGGCCCTTCCCAAACAAGGACAAACTCAGAGAGGCCCGTGTGCCGTCGGCCGATCTCACGGCGCGACACTCCACGTCCCCAGAGGTGGAGGTCAGCTGATGGAACGTCCTGTGGCTGGGATCGTCATGGACCGCGGTCACGTGCACTTCCACCCACGCGCCTTTGGGTAAAGCCGGGACCACTGCGATGGACAAGGGGCAGGGGACAAGGTCTGAAGGCCACTCTATGTCCTGGGATGAGACGAGAACAAAAATATATCAACTTCTAAAATTAAATATATCAATTTTGAAGTAGATGCTTTAACAACAACAATGATGAACTTGGGAAAAAAACCCATAAATATGCATCGGTATCTGGACAAATAGCATTAATCGTTCACCTCATACATTGTGGTGGTAAAGTACAGCTGTTTGAAGACTTTTCAGTACAGGGACGACAAACCCGGGTCAAATGCAAAGTAATTTAACAGACCACCACATGTTGCTCAGTGTATAAGGAAATTTGAACAGTGTGAAAAGGGGAAAAACAAATTGCAGAGTCTACAGAATTACTATATACTGTAAAAAGAGTTTCACATTCTGACTATTGGAAATGTAACAACTTTTTGAGACGCCTGTAATTCATGTTTTCATTTTCACCACTTAACATATACTTTTCACTAAAACGCCTGTGCGGTTGGTGAAATTGACAAAAAAGACTGGACCTCTAGGTGGAGGTCTGTGCTCTATGAAAACTTCTTGATGCAGTTTTTCTAGTTTGTGCAACTGGTTATCAAAAACTTCTAGCATACCCCTGTCCCTTCTGTCTAAATGCTCCTTTTCCAAACCTTATACGCCATGACGCAAATGTGTGGAGGTGTGAGAATGAGTGATGGTGGCCGGGGGGGTTGATTGTACACCATGGCAACCTCGCTTCCATTAGTCTGCCCCAGGGCATCTCTGGCTATAACACTGCTATATACAAAGTGAATGAATAAATGTAAATGTAAATGTGCACTTTATTGTCCCCGTAGGGAAATTTGTCCTCTGCATTTGACCCATCCTGATGCCACTAAGGCTTATGTCAGGAGCAGTGGTCGCTGCAGTACATCGCCAGGGAACCCATCTCCAGATGTTGATGCTCGGCTTGGTCAGGACTATCGGAGCTGGAGGATTTTACCTAGTGTGCATATTTTTAGTGGTAGGGGAAACCGGAGCACCCGGAGGAAACCTACGCAGACACGGGGAGAACATGCAAACTCCACTCAGAAAGGCCCTGTTCTGCCCGGGATTCGAACCAAGGACCTTCTTGAGAGCTAGGCGAGAGAGCTATCCACTCAGCCACCGTACCGCCCGTAATACCAAATGAAATGTATTTGAAGGTCCAGAAAAGCGAATGAATGAATGAATAAAGGTCCAGAAAAGCGTCACATATAACCAATGACTTTTTTGTATTTTAATGTAGTTTCTACTTCTATAAATTATTTCAATATTCTAAAACATGCCATGCATTGACTACTTACTGTAAATAGAACTAAAGACAGATGTATTGGATTACATTGTATGTGGCAAATAAATATCTATATATGCAAACGATAATAACCTATTTTCAAGATTATGTTTAAGGGCCAAAAGGCATCATGTTGTTAAAAGGAAAGTTGAAATATTGACAAAAAAAACTAAGCAAATCATCCTTCTCCAAATATCACTGGTCTGTAACTGTTCATTGGACATCACATTAAAGCAACACACTCCTCGCTCCTCGAGACGGCCACTTTCCCCTGACACTAGTCTGACAGGCTCCCATTATGTCCCATTGTGAGATGACCCGCGTAATCACCGTGGACCAAAACGAGTCCGTATCGAACTGAACACCTACATGACAGCCGCCGTCGCCCCCTCCGTCCACTTTCGCCACTCTACTCCACCATTAGCGGCGAGCGCAAAACATCTCACAGCTCGAGCTTTGGCTAATAGCGCCGTCTTCATCTGGTAATGGGGCGAATATGAGCCATGTATCCACGAGCGACTGTTTCGAAACGCGAGTTGAAATCGCTTAACCCCCATCCCCCTCCCCCCTCCTTTTCAATTTGCGAGATCAATTCTTGCCGCCACTTACACCCCAGTCCCTAAGTGCACGGTAATGACGGGTTGCTTAGGTTTTATTTTGAGGAAGAAAAGACAAATATTGACGAGAGGAGTGACAGTGGTGACCCGAAGCAGAGCGAGCACTACGGCAGCACTTTGGGTCAAACCGGAGCGAGTTAATTGTGCGTTGTTGTGTTCGTTTGTAAATGAAAATCCATGGTTGTTTGTTGACTTACGAGCTGGTTGTGAAACGTCTGCATGCTCTGTCTGATGGCCCTTTGGATTCGGGTTTGATACTTGAAGGCATGTCACTTCTGATCGCTTCGCTCTTAGTTTACTTTATTATAGACGGGGCAATTGTGCACACCTTCTCAAAGAGCTGTGACAGAACTATCAATCCATAGCATGACATCATCTTCACTAGATAATCAAGGACTGTGTGACTGAAATCTTATAAAAGTGGATTTGGCTCAATGATTCGAGCTTATTAATTGGGAACCCGTAATGCAAATGAATCAAAGCTGAGTTGGCTAACTTTTTGTTCCGAAATACTACATGTTATTTGTCCCAACAGAAAAGGAAAAATGGGAATAAATCAGGCTACAACATGCTGTCTTCATCTTGAAGAAAAAACACATGTTGCATAGTTGTAAGAGCCCTGCGAGTCACTATTTGACTCATTGGTCTGAAAGCTGAGGGTGGGACTCTCTTTTTCACTTTTCTGTTTAAAAAGCAAGGAATGGGTTGGATGGATTTCTTAACATTTTTCCACTTTATGTCACAGACTTTAGACTTTTTTCGAGCTTACACAATTACAGTGTCTTTTAAACATGTGCATGCATTGTTATATGCATTTACATTAAACACAAATTCATGTGAGTGGTAAGACATAACATATGCCAAAAGGATACACACAACTCGAAAAGGGAGTGAGCAAAACTAAACGTATGTACTCCCACCCCCTCTCATTATGAACATAAGCGGTTGCGATTTTTTATATAAACATACATTTACACAACACTGGTAATCAATAGAAGAATGTAGCAACTGAATTCTGCAACTGAATTTATGTGGTTTGAAAGTTAGGTACCCCAGCTTTAAGTTACACGTCGGACGCCAAATTTGAATTAGAACTCAAATCTAGCTAATCGCTTGTTACGTGTCACTTGTTCTTATGCCACATTATTAGTATTAGCATCAGCCAATTAGCTCTCAGCCCAAAGAGGCAGCCGCATCGCTCTTCTGTACCAGTCAACAATCTGTGTGCGTCTGTTTACACACAATAAAGGGCTTAGCATTTTGTCAACTCTGCTACACGTTGTGAATAGTGTAGTGTTACAGAAACAGTGTCAAGATGTAAAAATGCACTCATACACTTTGTAATAATTCGCACACAGTAGGTTGTCCCTGAATCTTGCGGTTTCCAGATATTCTACTACACGTATTTCTCACATGTCCAGGACTACTCCCGTGGTCATAAGACTCTGAACACACACCTCTTGTCCTGCCTTATTCTGTGTGGAGCGCTGGAGTGCCGTGGTTCCTTTAGTCTGTTCACTGATCAACAATAACACTTACTACAAGAGAGTTCACCGGGGGAACAATAGTTGTGTCATCCTGGTGCTGTCGGGCCGTGTGACAGCCCGCATACGCGCTGGGCCCTTTGATAAATGTTAGATTAGCACTTCTGGCACGGGCGCGAGCTAGTCTCCTGCAGGCGGCTTGTCAATACCGATTGGTGGCGGACCGGAGAGGGGGAAGAAAGTGACAGGGCCGAGGTCTGCTCAGCCAGGCTTAAAGGCCACCCCACAGGGCCCCTGGGTGCTCCGAACCAGGGCCCGCTTTCATCAGGGGGACCGGGCTGCTGTCGGACGAGGTTACATCATTGTTTCTGTGTGAAAGGGGCAGACACACGGAGCACGTTTGGTCAGCAGTGAAAAGCAAAAGGTCTGTGTGGCAGGTAGAATTTTACTTAAGTCCAAGTAATCCCTAATCCTGAGTCGCAACAGCTTGTTTTACCAGAGAAGAGCAATAGCTAGTTTCCATAGCAACACAGTTTACTTGCCAGCAGTTAGCCATAGTTGTATTTCAACAAATGTTTTTTTCTGTATTTCAAGTTAAATTAAACAGTTTGAGCCCTTATTAAAGGTAAAAATACATATACATTACTTAATCTTAAAAAAGTAATGAAACACAGAATTCCATTGATTTGAATGGGAGCCATCAAAATGACTGACTCTGGAAGTTCTAGTAGTGTCAAGTGTTATGTTCTTTTGGTAAATAACTAACTGGGCATGGTCAGGCACCGTAATACATCCAGGGCCTGGTCCACCCCTATGTCTCCAACAGGAGTCTGAGGTCCTCCACTCAGAACCTGTTGATGGTCCGCCGCATTTGCTTTAAAACCAGAGGAGACAGATCCTTCCAGGCAGTTGCTCCTCACCTTTGGAATGAGCTTCCTCAGTCTCTGCGCATCTTAGAGACTGTTGATGATTTTAAGTCCCAACTTACAACGCATTTATTTAGACAGGCTTTCTCGCCTCACTGTTCATAGGCCTCTGTGAACTGTGTAAACTGTGTTTTCTGTGTTTTGTTTTTAATCTGACTTTTATGTGTATTTTATGTGTTTTAATCTGTGAAGCGCTTTGTGATCCTGGTCTGTGAAAGGCGCTATACAAATAAACTTTACTTACTTACTTACTTATATACATATTTGTTTAACAGCAGCAATTTGAAGTCATTTTATCAATAGCACATTCACACAGAATGATGTCACACAGAGGTAGAAGGTGGTGTGTAAAGAATTAAACACACAAAGGCATGTGACTAGAATGTATACTGGATGCAATGTCAGCGCAATGCCAAGAAAAATCAAGACTGTTTCTCAAATGCAAGAAACATTTCATTCCACATGCAGCATGTAAACAAGCGTGTGGATGTCACAATCCAAAAGGTGTTATTTACATGGATGGGGTCACATAAACCCACGAGGGCCACATTATGGGGATACATACAAATCCATGGGGTACATTTGAGGAGGGCACCCACGTCTTCAGTAAGACTAGTGCAGCGGTAAACACCACAACTTGATTTATTTGTTTATTTAAACAAAGTACATTAATGAACATTGCTATGCAAATATATATATAAAAAAAAAAAAAACG